GATAATGAGCTTTACCCAACGATCTTGGGGCCGTTTTTTGTTATTGTTGTTGTTGTTGTTGTTATTGTTTTAGAAACAGGGTCTCATGTAGGCCCAGTCAATTGTTTCTATTCAAAGATATCTGTATCTATATATCTATGATGTGTCAGTCAGCCTTCTCGAACTGTAACAAAATAGGCAAAGAAAAATTAACTTAAAAGAAGGTTTGTTTGGGATCATGGTTTCCGAAGTTTCAGGTCAGCTGGATCCATTACTTCAGGCTGAGGAGAGGTGGCCAAAGCATCAGGCAGGGGAGGTTGCTCACCTCACCGTAGCCAGGAAGCAGAAAGAAAGATAGAGGCCGGGCCTAGAGATAAAATACATCCTTCAAAGTCATGCTGCCATGACCTGCTTCCTTCAACAAGGCCCTCCCTTCTACGTTCTTCAGCTATGAACTCATCAATGGCTCGGTCTCTTTATAAAGTCAGCACCCTCCTAGTCCATTCACCCCTCAATAAGCATTTTGGGTTCAACTTTATGTCCAAACCTCGGCATGCTTTAACAGGAACTGTCAATGTTGAGTCTATGCCTATTTGATCTTAATTAGGTGATGGGAGGTTGGCATCTTGATGCCGTAATACATCCATCGATGCCTCAGATGGTAATACCTTTATTTTTTGGGTAATATCCTTTGTCACCTTGCTGTCTGAATACCAGCCATCCCTAATGATGCCAAACGAGAGGCAATATTTCAACTAACCATTCCTCGGGGAAGAGTAGATTGTAGAATGTCAGAGGCATTGTCATGGAGTTTTCATTATAAGTGTCCCCCAAGAGTATTTGTGGGGGGTATACAGTGGTCAAGAATTGGGATTCAAACTGACCCTGCCCCTCCTATTGGTGTTCCCTGTTCATTCCAAACAGGGTCTCATTTAGCCCAAGGTAGCGGCCTTGAATTCTCCGTATTTGAAAATGACCTTGGATTCTTGTTTCTCCTGCTTCTATCCTGAGTACTATAGTTACAGGCATGCACCACTACTAAAGATACCCTAGGGTCTGTCTCAAACACATCAGAAACATTTTTCAAACTGAACCACACACACACACACACACACACACACACACACACACACACACACACACACCCGGCCCCTACATTCAGTTTCCAATCTCATTTGTAAAGAGGGAATCATCACAGTAATTACTTCAAGTTATACATATAACTTTCTTACTCTGTGTTCTCAACAACAGTGAGTAGGACACACCAAACACCCTATGTGCTAGCCACACTTATAAAGGAGATCCAGATTCACAACCACAATGCTGCAGAACTAATAGGCCACCAGGGTAGACACACAGCAGTGGACAGCTGCATCTCCTGGCCTGAAAATCACATCAAGAACCCATTATCTCACCGGCTTTACACTCTGTCATGCTTGCCTTGGTTGTTTTTCGTTTGTTTGGGGGTTTTGATGGTGGTGGTGGTTTCCTTGTTCTTCCCGACTTGGCACAGTGTAGGACCATCTGGGAAGAGGAAACCTCAGTGGGAGAGAAAATGCCTCCTTCGTGTTTGCCTGTGGGCAAGTCTGGGAGGTCATTTTTCTTGATTAGTGATTGATGCAGGGAGTCTCTGATCACAAAGGGCAGTGCACACCCTTGGGCAGGGGGGTTCTGGTTGTATAAGAAAGTAAGATGAGCAGCATTTCTTCAAGCTTCTGTTTCTGTTCCTGCTTCCAGATTCCTGTGTTGAGTATCTGCCCTGACATCCTGAGAGCTGAAGGATAAAATAAACCCTTTCCTCCCCAAGTTTCTTTTGATCGTGGTGTTATCACAGCAACCCTAAGACAGTTCCCTGAGATGAAGTGAAAATAATGGGTACAGGGAGTAATGGGACTCAGTAGGATCCGTCAAAGGCTAAAGATACTGTGATGGTTAATTTTGTCAACGTGATTCTTAGGACATGTGTGGGGCACACTCTGTGTGTGTCTACCCGTGTTTCCAGAGAGGATTAAGTGAGAAGGGATACTTGCCTTGGCTGTACACAGTCCCTCACATGAGCTGGAGTTCCAGGCAGAATAAAAAACGGGAAGGATAAGCAGAAAGCCAGATGAACACCAGCATTCTCCTTCCTCTGGCCTGGTACCCTCCAACCCTTAGTCAAAACAAATCTTTCCTCCCTTAACTTTCCTTAGCCACCATCTCATCACAGAAAAGTAATGCAGATACCAAGCTGACAAGAGACAAAGGGGAAGCAAAACCTTAGAGAACACTTTGGCCATTTGTATTCAGGGCAATAAGAACTTTCTAATGTCTCTCAATAAAAATTTACAACAGATTTTTGCCTCTCAGAATTCCTCATTCAATCCATAAAAAGGAGGAGGAAGTGCATGTAAGATGTTCAGGGCACAAAGGAAGAGATCCGGAACACAGCAGGACCCCAGCTCACAAAGGTGCTTACCCTCAGTCTTCCTTAGCTGTCTCTTGGTGGGTGATGTATGCAAAGCCCTCCCCGTTCAATAAATGGTTTGGCGCACTTGTGCTTAAATATTTCTGATTATACTAAATAGTCTTTACCTCCAATTTGTCCTTTAAAACTAATTACAGTTTTGTACTTATGTTCTGATGGCAAGTTGAAACTTTTTAATAAATAGTTCGTTAAAAAAAAAAAAAAGATGTTTAGGGCACTGAGTAGTGCACAAGTCATCACCGTCGTCTAAAACTAGAATTAGTCACTGCACCGGACCCCATTAACTGCTCCTTCTCCCCTGCTCTGGCCTCCTTGCTATCTATCTCCTCTAGCATATTTTCCAATGATAAAAGTGAAGAAAACAGCTGGCTGTTATCGAGTAAAACTTCAGAATGGTATGTTAGCGGGATATCCATTCAATAAAATGTCTCATAGATTTTGGAAATGAAACGGGACTGAGAATATAGAGTCCAGAGGGTTTGTTAAATCTGTGGAAGGCCCTGAGTTTGAGCCCTAAACAGAGATTACTCTAGTAAAGGCTTTATCAGGTAGTGAAACATATGCCTCCTAATTTCTAAAAACTTTTTAAAGCTGCAAAGCAATCAAGGTACACTAGCATGACCCAGAGCGTGGTCTGTTTTTGTGAACAGCCTAGAATTATAAAACTTTTACACGGTACCGATATAGTTACTAATCTTCATTGTAATGCAATTGATTTCAAATTACAGACTGCAGACAGCGCAGACCCTGTGACTTCCGCCTAGCACTCATCAGAGTTATCAGGTCTCAGGGCGATAGCCTCCTCTGGCAACCAGGAGCCTTAAGGTATAAAGGTCCCAGCTCTCCCTCCCATCAGGAGCACAGACCTCAAGCTGCAGGCACTCCTACCCACACCCTCAGGCCCGTTTCCTCTAACCCCATTCCTCTCCCTCCCCAAACTCACACCTTAGGAAAATGCATACCAAGGACTCCTCACCGACTTCCTTCTGGTGAAGCATTAACTGAGGGTTTGATCCTGGGTCCCAGCTATTCTTTCCCCCATGAGCCGTACAAACAAGCAGTTCTCCCTCCCTGTCCCCTGTCCTACTTTGTTTAGAGCTACCCCTGGCAAAGGCACTACAGCCTTTCCAGCCCCCTCCTTTCCTCCAGAGCAAGCCGGGACAGAAGTCCCACCACCACCCACATACACTACTCAGATATGGTCTTTGTCAGATTTATATTCTCTCTCTCTCTCTCTCTCTCTCTCTCTCTCTCTCTCTCTCTCTCTCTCTTTCTCCCACACACACACACAGTGTCTAGGGCCCCCACACAGCTCTTCTTGGAGGCCCTGGATTATATCTGTGTTCCCGTCTCTCACGGGTTTGTCCATTGCTAATTCAGCGAAGGAACAGAGTCCACTCTATTCTGACTCCGAAACACACCAAGGCCCAGCCACCTCCCTCCCTCCCTGCTTCTCACAGCCAGACCCACAACTAGAACACTGGAGTGTGTACCTCAATCAACCACGTGAAGCTACCCGATGTCAAGGACCCACTTACTTTCAGGGGTTCGAGGAAGACTGAAAAGAATCGCTTCTCTTGAGAAACTCAAAGCAGAACCGTAGAGAAACAGAAAATACTATACAACCAGGCAAAAGCTGGAGCAGAGGAAGGAAGGGCGTGGTTATATGCGCACAGGCTGCAAAGCAGGCTTTCCATCTAGGAGTGGGGGTTGCAAGGAGCCGGTTCACTGAGCTGGGAAACCAGAGCACACACCTCTCCCCTGGACAGAGAACCCACAGACACAGTAGCGGAGGCCGGAGGCGCCACACCCACTTAGACCATGGCTCTCTCTGCACCCAGCATTGTAAACACGCCACTGTCTCTGCTCCAGTCAATCAGGAAAGACAAGTACAAAACAAATCAGAAGGTATGTGTACTTAGGATTGTGGTCAGCGCCCAAGATGCTTTGGGGGGGGGTGGACTAATTCCGATTCCAGTCCTAAGTACAAAGGCCACTGAGAGGAGGTAGGGAGAGTGGGGGCCAGTGAAGTTGAAGTTAAGGCGGTGCAGTAACAGACCAGGTCAGAACCGGGTGGAAACTAGGCTTGAAGGAAGGGTGGGGCAAAAGACAGGGTGGGGCAAGTGGGCTCCGCCTTCTGCCCCTGGGTTCCAGGTCTGCGACTGGTTTTCTGCATCCCCAGGAGACAGGTGAGCCAGAGCTCCCGGGGCCTCCCGAAGGGGCGGGGCGCAGGCGCAGGAGTCGGGCTGGTGTGGGCAGAGAGGGTCTGCGAGTTCTTGCTACACCGAACCCAGGAAACTGGCAGGGACTTTGCCTGCTGGGAGCTGCCTTGAGATTGACTGTTTGCGTTTTTGCCAGAGAAAAGGCGTCCCCTTCCCTCCGCACCTGCCAGCCTCTGTGCTGACAGGAAACTTGAAATCAGAGCTTAATGACTTGGGGAAAGGGGCTGGGCCCGGACTACGTGGGGTTTAGAAAGTCCTTCGGACTTCTGGTAGTTGCCCTGGGCCTCTCTAAGATTCTTTCTCACTTAGTTGGCTGGTGTGCCTGTGGCCTTGTGTGTGCGATCACATTCTGCTCCATCAGGGGCATGGGTTGACCTAGCTGTGGCGGACAGCAAAAGCCAGGCGGACAGGTAAGTGATGAGCCCTCTCCCTCTTTCCAGCAGGGCCATCCTGGGGGGGGGGGGGGCTCCGAGTGGGAGGAGGAGGGTAGAGGTCTGACCAGAAGAGAAAAAGGGGAAAGGCTGTGACCCATCGCCTGGATTCCAGAGATGCCTGTGTGCACTGAGGCCCCGGATCCTGCACAGCGTACTTGGGAGCTCGAAGGGGGCCCGCAGGGAAGAGAGAAAGAAGCAAGGGATGCAGGCAGGGCAGTGTGTGCCATGGCGTAGAAATTCATGTGAGGCTGAGGGTCCCAGCTGAACTAGGTCCCCAGCTCTCCACACCAGGAACCGAGAGAGAATGATGGAGCCCCAGAGGCCCTGAAGACCACTTGCTTCAGACTGTAAACCGGGAGCATAGTGTTTTTACTCTGGGGTCTTGCACAGTGCTGTGGTGCTGATGGCTGGCTAACACACAACTTGCGTGCGTTTCTGCAGGTGCCCCGAGAGGGACCATGGTGCCAAGGCGGTTGTGGGGGAAACTCAAGCAGCCGTTTCTCTTCCTGAGCAGCGCCTCGCTTCTCCTGGGGCTGGCTTTACTGGTCATACAGCCCAACGTCGCCCCTGTCGCTTATTTTTTCCTCTGCTTGGCTGGCTTCTGCTTTTTTGCCTGCCTCCTGTCCTGTGTGGTGGACCGGGTTCTCCAGTCAATACAGAGCTCAGGGCAGACTGAGAATCCAGAGGCCTCGGGCAATGCAAGGTGAGTTAGCAGGGAAGATGCCCTCAGGCCGGTGGTTCTCAAACTTCCTAATGTACCCTGCCCTGCCCTTTAATACAGTGCCTCATGTCGTGGTGACCCGCAACCACAAAATTATTCCCTTGCTGCTTTGTAATTCTGCTACTGTTATGAACATAACATGTCATAACGTATATACCTAGTCTTCAGGATATCCGATGAGGGCCCCCCCAAAGGGGTCATGACCCCACCCACATGTTGAGAGCCACTGCCTTAAAGGGTAGTGCAATAAGGGCCATTCCCTCTATGCCCTTTGTTTCTTAAGCCTAGAGATTCTGCTTTCCTCTGTCACTGGTATTATTAAGAGCAACAGTCAGCAGATAATAGAGGGGTCATTTGCAAGAGTGGGACAGAAAGAAAAAAAAAAAACTTCTTTCAGGCAGGCTAATGACCATAATCCGCTAATGACCATGTTTCTCCTCCCACAGGGACAACGAAGCTTTTGAGGTGCCAACGTATGAACAGGCTGTGGTGGTGATGGGTTCGCAATCACAGCACCCCCTCCAAGAGCTGGAGCAACCACCCCCTTACAGCAGCGTGGTAACAGCCCCAGGCGTGGAGGGGCCACCGCCTAGCCAGCTAGAGAGGCCCAGCCCGGGAAGCCTGAAAAGGCGTGTGGGCTCAGAGGGGACGATGTCTCGCAGAGGGAACCCTGGAAGAGCTCTCCGACTTAGGGGGCCACGAGTTGTATCCACTGCTCCTGATCTGCAAAGCTTGAGAGTGGCCTCGAAATCGGAGCCCGCTACTCCACCCCCTGCCTACGAAATCTCTTTTGCTTACCCTGACGATGACAATGTTTTCTATGAAGATAAACGGATACTCCCCTAAGCGAATGCTCTCAGAACCTAGCATCTCTGCACTCAATGGCTCAGCATTTCCTAACGCCCACTTTATCGGGAACTGGTTTTTTTTTTTTTTTTTTTGGCCCGGGACATCACAAATGGGGCCTTCAAACCAGCGGGGGAGTCAGGACATGCATGACAAGGCCTTCCCAATCGAGATATATAGGGGTGGCCCGGCTGGATTCTTCTGGAAAGATTCTGGAGCCTACCCGATGACCCCCAGCATTTGCGGAGTGAGGTGGAGGATGCAAGCTGCAAGCGGGAATCTGGAGCAGTAGCACCTCGGAGTGCTCCTGGCAGGGTATTCCCTACCAGGGTAATGAGAGATTCTAAAGGGCGAGGGGAGCTGCGTCGTTTGCACAAGAACAGGATGCTAGTAAAAACATAAAAAATACCAAAAAAAAAAAAATGACTCGAGTCCAATCCTAACCCCGGTGCCTCCTGTTTTCAATGCAAACCAAGGCAACGCCCACGACTCCGTAACCTTGCCTTGGGACAAGTGGTAGGTAAGAGCGAGAACTGTAAACGCGGGCGCAACGGGAGACCTCGGAGAAGAGCGCCTCCTAGCGTCTCCCGTTTCCCGTGCAGCCCGGGCCTTGGAAGAGGAAGGGCGGAGGCGAACAAAGGGAGGGAGGGAGAGCCGCGCGGCTCCTCCGCTCCGGTCGGCTCCGAGCTACTGCAGGCGGGGCAGGGAGGAGGCTGCGGTTTCCGCGGGAACCGCCGGCCAATCAGACCCCGAGGTGGGCGGAGCCCCGCTCTTCTCCCCGCCCCTTCCCGTGTCTCCCAGCGCCTCCTCGCCGCCCATTGGGTGGTGCGGGCCCCTCCCTCTCCGGGAGAGCAGTATGCGCCTGCGCACGTCCCCGCGTGGGGGCGGGGCGGGGCCGCGCGCAGGCGCGGAGAGGGAGGCGGGGGCCGGGGAGGGAGGGAGGGAGGGAGGGATGCGGGGGCCGGCGCGGCCTGGCGCTTGTTTGTGTTGTGGGTGGTGCGCGTGCAGCCCGGGAAAAGCTGGCAATGGCGGCGCCGAGCGGGAGGTCGCAGCCCGCTCTGCACAGGAAGGGGCTGATGGCGGCCGACAGGAGGAGCAGGTGAGGACGGCGGGGCCGGGCGGGGCCGGGCGAGCGGCTCGGCCGGCCGGGCCTCCCTTTGTGCGGCGCGCGCGGGGCAGTGGGGCCCGGCCGCGCCCGCGCCGTCTGTGCAAAGATGCTCGGAGCTTTCCTCTCCGTGCAGCCCGAGCACCTGAGCCCCCGGAGCCAGCCAGGCCTTCTGCAGACCTCGCCGCGCGGCCTGCGGCGCTTTGTAACGTGGCCCGCGCTGCTTCCCGTGCAGGGGGTGGCAGCCGGGCACAGAGGTCCGCACGGGTGTAGGGGCCCCGGATGCTTCGCGAGGGCTGGGTGGTTCTGTGCCTTCGCCCCCCGAGACAGTTTCGGTGCAGGTGTGGCTCGGCAGGACGCGCTGTGACGCGTCCCGTGCAGATCTGCAACGATTAACTTCGGGGGGGGGGGACACACGGAATCAAAACGTTAGAATCCTTCCTGCGTCCTGTCTTTCTTTCCCGCCCCCCCCGGGGTCCCCGCCCATCCTCTTTTCCGCGGCTTTCCTAAAACCCCAGGTGATTGGGAACTTTGTGCAAAGTTCACGTTTAAGCCTCTGCTCGGAGTTTAAGATGAAGGGTAGCAGGTGTGCGGAGTGGGCGGTGCTCCAGATGAAAACCGGTGACAGCCAGCCTGGGACTTGGGAGGGTGAAGGCCTGTGGATGGGATTGCCCAGGGAAGAGGCTTTTTTTCCTCTTCTCCTTGTAGGGGCGCCCTAGTGCGCTGTCAACATTTAAAGGCTACCTACCCGGGTGGTGGGGGGACAGGTCAAGTGACCTCTGAAGGAAACCAGTGTGTGTTGAGCTGTGCGTGGACCTGGACAGGGCATAGTGTGGAAGCTAAGGGGAAGACAAGCTTTTTAAGAAATGAATGTTCCCGATGAACTGAGAACTCTGCTGATTATGTACCCAAGGATATACCCGGCCAACGGCTGCAGAATTGATTTTGTTTTCACCAGATTTCATATTTAGCCCCATTAATTACTCTGTTGTCTTGTAAGATGAATCTTAAGTGAAGTTTGAGATTCATGTAGATGTTGGCTGTAGCAGGTTCTAGTGAATTTTGAGGAAGCAGAGACGTTCTAAATCCTTACTGTGCCTCAGTACCTGTTGCTGACCCAATTTCCCGGGACTCTGTTTTTTCCATCTAACAGTAGACCTCTATCTAGCTCAAGGAGTCTTTAAGCTGGGGACATTCAGCCAGTGCTGGCATTTCACTCACTGAAGATGCTTATCTGTTCCCCTGTATTTCTTACCCCCTTTGAATCACGATGCATCTAAAAAATCTGTTTTGTTGTATAAACTGAACCTGTTATATCGCCTGCCATCAGGCCCTGAGCATCGTCTCATCCAAAACAAACTGGAGGTCTCAGTTTACATTCATTGGGCACATTGAGGACATATATTGGAAGTGGGATTTTTTTTTTTTTTTTGTGAGTAAACCTAGGGACACAAATACAGCTATTGCTGGTAAACTAAGTCACCAGATAATTTAACCACTGATTGCACTTTCCTTGCGACTACAAGTTACTTTGTATTTGTCATTGGTGTCCATCTCCCGTGGCTTTGTCAATCTCCACTCACCCATAGCTTTTAGTATTGGTTTATCATGGAGTTGTAGAATATTTTTGGTATAACTTATGTGAGTGGCCTAGAGAGAGGGAGGGAGAAAAGAGTGTGTGTGTGTGTGTGTGTGTGTGTGTGTGAGTGTGTGTGAGAATGTGTATAAACAGTATGCCTTTTGGCTTTACATTTTATACCTGATTCCTGTCTAAGATCGTTTTTGACTTAGGTTAGTTTTCTAAGAAAAAGGTATGTCATGTTTCCTAAACTTTGTCAGAGGAGTGTTTCTTACCTTGAATACATTCGTGCGTCTTTATATTAACTTGACCGAGATTTCCTCTCCTAGCCATATCCTTAAGTCAAATAGTCCGGTGTAAACTTTCGATAGAGACTTGTACCTTCTTTGCTTAGGGTCAGTATGTTACTCTTAGTACATTTGATTTAAAGGGATTTAACAAAGAACGCCTCGTCTTGCTCCCGAGTCCGTTTTGTCCTTCTTACCCGATGCTCCTCCCTTGTGTGTCTCACGCCTAACAGCCCCTTCCTCTGCCTCTCCGTAGGATCCTGGCGGTGTGCGGTATGCATCCTGACCATCAGGAAACGTTGAAAAAGAACAGAGTGGCCCTGGCCAAGCAGCTGCTGCTCAGTGAGCTGCTAGAGCATCTCCTGGAAAAGGACATCATCACTTTGGAAATGAGGGAGCTCATCCAGGTATCTGTGCAGGAGGGGCAATAAGCCAAACCGGCCTTAGGGGTGGGGCGGAGGAAACCTTTGAACCCTGTGCTCCCTGGCTGAAGAGGTGGAAAGCCCTTCTCATCTGTGGGAGTTTGACAGGGACCCTCACCCGTGCATACTCACCCTGTAAAGCAGCGATTCCCGAGATGAATGAGAACGATACTCAGAAAGCTGGTGTGGAAAAAATAGCATTCATAAGCAGACAAGCAAATGCAATTGAACGTTATGTTTCTGTGCCCTAGGCCAAAGGGGGCAGTTTCAGCCAGAATGTGGAGCTCCTCAACCTGCTGCCCAAGAGGGGACCCCAGGCTTTCGATGCCTTTTGTGAGGCCCTTCGAGAGACCAGGCAAAGTCACCTAGAAGACTTACTGCTCACGACCCTCTCTGACATTCAGCATGAACTCCCACCGGTAAGACCCTAGAAATATACGCTGGCATGGGCTAGTTTGACCAGAAAGGGTGGGGAGCAGAGGCCACCGGGAGAGAGGAGGTTGATTGTGTTTGGTTTGGACAGATCCGTCTTTCTGAGGTCTTTGACGGTGAGTCTTGCTTTCTTACAGTTGAGCTGTGACTATGACACAAGTCTCCCTTTCTCGGTGTGTGAGACCTGCCCCCCTCACAAGCAGCTCCGCCTGTGCACAGGTGAGAATGTGTGGGACGAAAGGACCCCCCCCCCACTGACTTACCTGCTTTCTGAATGGTGTCTGGCTTTTCCCTGAAGGTGGGGTGTGTTCCATGATAGGAACAGTTAGTTCATTGTGAACTGTTGACAGGTTACCAGGCCAGGTTAGAAGGGTTAGGTTGAATGCGTTTCCCTGCGTCACAGGTGCCATTCTTCAAAATAATTGGCTTTTTGTGCAGTTTATTTAGATGGGGAACTATGACTTCTTGTGTAAGATTTGAGTTGTCTTCTCTTGAAAGCTAAACAAGAAGAGGCCACTACACTCAGGGCTCCCCGTCCATATTGAGGTGTTAAGGCCAGGCTTGTCTTAGAAGCCCTTTGCATCATTCATCGAGTTGAGTATGTACTGCATGAAGCCACATGTGGGGCCCAGTGAAGAGCAGCATAAGCCAACCGGGTCTGTGCCAGCACGGGGCTTACGTGCAGGAGGACGAAGGACAGTGTCCATTGCACCCTCAGTTGAGAGGACTGCCTGCAGCTAAAATGATGCGCTGTTGGGTTACAGTGAACAGTGTTGAAATGTGTGCTAGCTTTCTGCATTGTTTCCTACCACAGGCACTATGGAACACTCCTTGGACAATGGTGACGGGCCTCCCTGCCTTCAGGTGAAGCCGTGCACTCCTGAGTTTTACCAGGCGCACTACCAGCTGGTGAGTTTGCGTGCTTGCAGCGAGAGAAGTGGGGAGTGACAGACTTTTCCTGTCCTCTGAGCCTGCTTTGCGTGTCTTCTCATGCTTGCTGTGGTTTCTTTTTACCTGGGGTGGTGAAAAATCAACAGCGGAGGTTAGACGTGGGGAGGTGAGGGTTGTTGTCTGGGGTGTGTTTTGAAATGCTTGACCGAGTAGGGTACCCACGTTACCTGTCGTGAAGAAGCTCATGGTCCAGCTGACCTAGCTCCTCCTCCTAGGCCTACAAGTTGCAGTCTCGGCCTCGCGGCCTGGCCCTGGTGTTGAGTAATGTGCACTTCACCGGAGAGAAAGACCTGGAATTCCGCTCTGGAGGGGATGTGGACCACAGCACTCTAGTCACCCTCTTCAAGCTTCTGGGCTATAATGTCCACGTCCTACATGACCAGACTGCACAGGTACCTACAGCTGGACAGGCCGGCATGGAACATCATCGGAGGGGGGGGGGGGCTGCGCTCCGGGGCCGGGCGCCTGCTCCCCGCTTGTGTCCCCTGGGTGTCTGTTGCGCTGCAGTCTAGTGAAAAGCAGGGAAGCCAGTCGCCTGAACATTGCTGTCTCGGGGTTGCTGAGCTTTCACGGAGTTCCTTAGTCCAGGGATGGCTTCCCTCATTTATGTGTTCAGAAACTTGACTCCCAGTCAGTCACTCAGGAAGTGAGGAGACACGGAGACCCTTCCAAACAAACTCTGAAGGGATATTTATAAATCGGGCTACACGGGCATTTACTTCACGGTTGCTATCATTACTTGAGATCCCAATTATTGTTTAAACCATTGCTTCTGGCATACTCAGTTCTTGTGAGTAGAAGAATATATGCAAACTCTATTTAGTGACACTCTGATTAAGTCAGGGTTGTATCGTTTTAGGGTAGGTTGCTCCTGGGCAGTTTTCACGTGTCATAAGCATTTTGACTGGTTTCTGAGCTTCACTGGTGAAGTTTCTGCTTTCACAGTTTCTATTTTGAAATTGATAATAACCCATCTGTGTGTTTTTCTAAACTGTTTTTGTTCCATAATAGCATGTTCTTAAACTTGGTCTTTGGGTTTTTGTGTTCATCAGAGGTATAATTTAAAATTCCAGCCATGGTGAGGCAGGAGAATCAGGGGTTAAAGTTTAAGACCAACCTTTATATAGTAAGTTGAAGGGCAACCTAGGCTATGTGAGACCCTGTCTTTAAAAAAAAAAATTATCTTTGGCCTCTTGAGGTAGGGGATCCTGGTTTTGTTTTGAAAGTTTGTTGTGGTCACCTTGGCCATAGCACTTCTGTGAGAAGAATTGTTTGCTACGCTTTGGGCGTGGCCAGTTTCATGGGTAGGTGGTCCATGCTCTTCTTGACATGGTGCTCGAGCCAGCTTGTCCATAACTGCCCATTTAAAATAGCTCCATTCTTGGTTCGGCCTAGTGGTCAGAGCGATTGCCTAGCATATGCAAAGCCCTGAATTTTATCCCCTGCACCAGGAAAGACACAAGCCATAGCTGGAACAACTCTTTCTACCATCGAGGGCGCTGAGGTAGGAAGCTAGCTTATCCGCCTCAGTTACTTTTGAGGGAATTGGAAGGCCACCTGCCAGATTTATGCTGTGTTTGTTTTCAAAGGGCATGTACGGTCTGTCTGTTCCTTATAATTCTCCAGGAAACTATTCTGTCGTGGTTTTCTAAATAGTGTGTTTGGTAGTGGATTGCAGATAGCGATAAAAGCTCCAGTGCTGTGTGACTAATACAGTCGAGTTTAATACAGTGGACTTTATCAGTCCACGAACTATATACTTTTTAGACTGTGTCTAAGGCAGAGTCAGAGTGTCCTGAATTTTCATTCCAAAGTTTTTCTGTCACTTAGGTTTCAGTGAAGCTAAATTTTGAGGAACTTTGTACTTTGAGGGCTGTTAGAACACACGCACGTGCACACACACGCACACACACACGCATGCGCACACACACACAATGTGGTACTGAATTCAGGGACAGATGTAGAGGGACTCTGTAGAGCACTGCCGTTAACTCATTTTTGAGAAATTGTGTATTTTATAAACATGCCATGTCATGGCTTGCTTCTGCTTGTGCAGAAAAATCTCTGCTTTCTCACCAAATCTGTTCTTACCATCCCCAGCTAGATTACAGTGTATGCAAGCAGAAGTATGCAAATCGGCCAGGTGTGATAATGAGTGCTTGTGGTCCCCGCAGTAGCTCAGGAGACCACCGAGGCAGGAAGAGTGAGAGCTCAAAGCCATAGTGGGCTGAGTGGTGAGTTCAGGGTTAGCTTGCGCTACGTAATAAGGCCCTGCCTTTAAAAAGAAAGAAAGAAAGAACGAACGAAAACCCCAAGTATTCCCAAGCAGAAGATGAACAGCTCTCTTGCCGTTTGGTTTTGTTTGTTTTTGGAAATGGTGTTTGTGTTAACAGCCCAGCCTGTCCTAGAACTCACTCTGTAAATCAGGCTGGCACAGGGATCCGCCTGCCTCTGCCTCGGGAGTGCTGGTCAGATTAAAGGCCTGTACCACCATGCTTGGCTTTGATTAGGGATCCTTAAACTTTGCAATACCAGAGTCAGTGGGAGGGTTGATGCAAACCATTTCTTTCACGTTGTGACAAGTTCTGAGTGCTGCTGCGGTCGCTGCTTTGGGAAACCAACTCCTTTAGAAGCTCCAAACTGTGAGCCAGCAAGCCGCTCTCTGAAGAGTGTGGGGGCGGAAGTGTGAGGCTATGTGCTGTGACTGCTCTGCCTAGGAGCAGACTCGACTTCCTAGTGTTTCCTTCGTGTAGTAATGAGATGAGCTGACCTGTTTGTTTGACGTGTGTGTTTGTGTTCACATATGTTTAGGTGTGTGTGTGACTGTGTATGTGTGTGCGTGCGCGTGTCTCCGTCCCCTAGGATTGATGTCAGGAGCATTTCATCACTTTCTGCTTTGTTGAAGCAAGTTCTCAGTTGAACCCAGAGTAGCAGCTTCCTCTAGAAATTCTCCCTGTCTGCCTTCCAGGTGTTAAAATTACACGCAAGCCCTATGGCCACCCTGTATTACTAATGTTCTGGGATGTAAGCTCTAGACCTCAGATTTTAATGGCAAGCATCCTACTTACGAGCTAACCCCACACACACCATGTAGCTTCTTTAGTAACTCACTTTAATGTGGGAATTCTTAACAATTTCAGTGAGCCTGTGACTCCATATTCAGAGTTTGATGTCTGAAGTCATGTGAGTGCATAGTTTTCTTTAGCCTTTCAGAGTGTCTGCACCTTATCAGTGATCACAGGAATGTGTAGGAAGACGCTTTTATCTTAGGTAGGGGCGGTGTCTTTCAAACAAGCCAGAGGTTATCATCTGTGTTGATGCTGACTGCAGTGGACACTAACGGATGCTTCTTTCTCTGTCTTCTAGCAAATGCAAGAGAAGCTTCGGGATTTTGCGCAGTTGCCTGCACACCGCGTCACAGACTCCTGCGTAGTGGCGCTCCTCTCACATGGCGTGGAAGGCGGCATCTATGGTGTGGATGGAAAACTGCTTCAGGTGGGTGTGATGGTGTGGGCGCTGAGCATTGAAAATGGTCCATTCTGCCTCCTGCCTGTCCATCTGGTTAGCTACTTCTCCCTTGCTGTGACCAAATACCTGATAAGAAGCTTCTTAAGGGGAACGTTTATTTTGGCTGACAGTTTGAAGGGATTCCGTCCTTCATGGCAGTGGGGGTCATAGGGCACTTTGTTAAACCACATCAGCTAAGTATTTAATACTGCCAGACAGAGAACATCTTCAGTGGTTTTCAGAGTTGATTAATGTTTATATTTTATAATCACCAGTGCTAAGAATACGTAGTATAACATGTCAGGTGTGTGTTTTGGGCTATTCCAGAAATCGTTGGAAAAGCTGTCCCTATCCAAAATTCATGTAATAATCTTTTATGAAACTCAATCCATCAGCAGTCTAACAGTATAGTCCATATTGTTAGAATACAGTCTTGTATGTCTGTGCCGAAGAGTGCTGGTAGAAAAATATTAAAAGTCCATTTTCTACAATTAGACCGTAGGCTTCTCTAAAGAGAAAACTTTGTAAAATGTCCAGTGAAGACACTGTAAGGATCCACGCTAGGCGTCTCAGGCAGCTTTGCTGCCACAGGCAGCGCAAGGCGCCTATGTTACGTGTTCACAACCGAGGCTCCAGTGACGTCACGTAATAGAACAGTGAGCACTAACAGAAGCACCTCACCTTCGTTATGCGTTTGATTTTGAATGAATTGTCGGCCATTGTTCATGCAGAAACCTTCCGCTAAATCTTTCCACGGCCCCCACATGTAGGCCTCATATGAAGTTGTTTAAGTAACTGGATTCTAGGGCCTAGAGATAACTCAGCAGTTGGGCGTACTTCCTGCCACGTTAGAGGACTCTTTCCCAGTACCACGTCAGGCAGTTCAACAGCTTGTCACTCCAATTCCAGAATACCCAGTACCTGTACCTTGTGTGGAAATCTGCAAGCACGTGTTGCATATAAACTAGTGTAGGCAGGCATACACATAAATAAAAATAATCAATTTTTAAAAGGAAAAAAAAAACTGTTCTTGATGATTCTAAGTCCTGTCATTAGAATCCAGGCATGTCACTTTTAAGCCATAATCTGTCCCCGGTTCTCCTAAGATTCACTGGGCATTCATCTCATGGTGAGAAAGACATCTTCAGGGGTCCCTGTGATTTAACTGCTCCAACACTGGTCAACAGGATAAGCTTACAGTATTATGGGATGGGGGTAAAATTACAAACAAACAAAGTGGCAGAGTAAAACCATTTCTGTTCCCAAAATAAAAGAAATGGGGTCGTAATAAGGAAAGTGGATGAAAACAAGCCCGAACCCCGCCCGAGTGGATACCCAATCCCGAAGCTCCATGGCCAGCATCTTTGGTTCCTTAGTGCATCTTTTGCTCCCACTGATGTGATGAACTGTTCTTCCAGCTCTAGCGTGTGCCTTATATGGGCTCTCGGAGGCCTGCGTCTCTTGGGGCAGCAGCGTTCCTTAGCAAAAAGCTACATGCTTCTGGTTTCCCTGTTACATGGGTTCCATTTACAACTTCACCTTAATTTTCATCCACTCAGGAGATCCATACGGGTACCCAGCCCTGCTGAGGCTGCCCGCTGCCCAGCCGCGGTGGTTCTTCTGGTACCCCGCGTAAGGGTCCGTGTTAACACCTCACCTTCCTGCCAGCTGGAGATGTGGCCTGGCCCTCTTGAGCCATACCTACAGCACCCTGTGCTGCTTTAGCTGAACCTTGGAAGACTGTCCTGGGTAGCCTATCCAGAGGGTGCACCTAAGGATTGTTTTTTCAGGTACTCTCCTTTGTGAGAGTTTGTGCCCTCCACATTGGAACTCTCTTGGTTGGGATTTTTTTACACACACCCCCCCCCCCCCCCCGTCCAGGCACCTTTGCTACTACTGTCCAATACAGAGTTTGCTTTAATGGCTCTAATAAGACTCTCCCATGGTGTCTGCTGAATTCTGTTGACCTTGAGGACCTTTGACACTGGGAGTCTGGGGTTTTCTGGTAAAAAAAAAAAAAAAAAAATAAAGAACCCCGACCCTGTCCTTAACTTTAACCAAACTCAAGAGCCTTTCTTGATAGAACTGCATTTTTATATCTGTATGTTATACACTATAAATGTGGGTAAATTTATTGAGCAATAGCCATGACACACAGCTTGAATGTTACGCTAAAAATATGCACTGCTAAACAAATTAGTCCATTATTGTACATCCAACCTCAAGTTTTCAGGGTATGGACAGACTGTACGCATATCCCTCAACACAGCAGAGCACAGGCTGAGCTCTCCCTGAGCCCTTCCTCGTTGTGTTTTGATCTCGGGTCCAGCCTGTGTCTGTATTTCTCTTGACACTTTGATCTCTCCAACTCCCACTAAAATGTCCCGTGAGACCCTGCTTATACCATGCTAGGTCTTTCTAGCCTGTAGCTTCACATTCCTCCAACAAATTAGCTCTAAAGGCCTACGACCCGTGTGGGAAGGGTTATCACTGACTGACCCCAGTGTCGGCACCACATTTCACTGTTAGTTTTCTTGGGCTGAGAGCAAATACTTAGGAAGCAACTTAAGAGAGGAGTAGATGTTGGCTCCCCGTTTGAGCGGGTACCCCACCGTGGCCGGGAAGCCAACTCTCTCCTGCCTGTGTTTGGGCAGATTGTGCGGCATAGGAGAAGAGACGCTGGCATTATCTGGCTTCGTCTGCCCCGTCCCCTTCTTCCAGCCTGGGCCTGACGTCTTTCTTGTGCAGTTAATTCTGTGTGGAAATTCAGTGCCCTCATAGGCACACGGCAGTGCGTCTCCTAAAGGGTTGTAAGCCTAGTCACGTTGACGAGGTCGCCGCCACCCGCCTGTCAGAGGATGGCGCATTTGTGTGTGCTGCACAAGAGGTCTCACAGCTGCCTAACCCCCCTTCTCCTCATTTGCTCTGGTAGCTCCAGGAGGTTTTTCGACTCTTTGACAATGCTAACTGTCCAAGTCTGCAGAACAAGCCGAAAATGTTCTTCATCCAAGCGTGCCGTGGAGGTGAGTGCCCTGGCGAGCCAGCGTCCGGGTGGTGGCTCCTGGGCAGCCTCCACCAGCCCTCACTGTCCTGTTTGCTCCTCTCAGGTGCTATTGGACCCCTGGGGCACCCTCCTTCTGTTCACTGCTGTCACCGCCTGTCTTGCTCTGTAAGTGTCCCCCAATGCATGGGGCGTGCTGGGGCTCGGCAGCCCTTGGCTCTCAGCCCTCCCAGCTCGACACCCCACACCCCGATCTCAGGGACCACTTTCTCCCGAGAACCGGACTTCTCTGCTTATTAACTGCAATGTACGTTTCTTTTTGTTCTCATTCCAGTCCAGGGTTTCTGCTTGTCTCCTCCAAATCTTCCTCTCGCCTTTTCCATTTTCTGTCTGCCGTTTTCACGCTCCCACACACCTGCTGCCTTTCTTTCCCGTTCTTGGAGCATGCAGGAGAAGAGTACAGAGCCCATGCCTGCCCGGACTCTGCTGAGCTGCTGCTTCTACCCTTCCTTTTCTTGCATGCGGTCTCTTCTACCCCTTTAAGAGCCAGGCCTGTGTAACGTGGCTCGGAAGACACAGGGCTCCTTCTCATCTAGAGGAAAGCAGTCGTAATTAAGAGTCTAAATTTGGAATCAGACTGTGCGTGTGCTGCCTAATAACTATGTGAAGTAAGAAGTTACTGCACTTCCCTCCATTTCCTCCCTATAAACTGGACAGTCTTGTATAAAAGCTGCTTAAGCTGCTGAGACGATTAATGACCTCGCACCTGAGTGCTTTCCTGGCTTGTACCTGGCTCATGGCAAACCTGGAGAGAAAGCCCGCTGTGGCGGATAGAACGTGGTCAGCATCCTCAGAGGCCTTACATTTTATGTATGTTATGGTTTACAGGATGCAAATATGTTTCCCTTTGTGGTTCCACAGATTGCATTTTACGGTCCTGCAGTGTGACTAGGTGACATCACAGAAGCAGAGAAATATCTGAGTATGCTTAAGTGGTACGTGGATTACAAGAAATTAAAGCAAGTGTACGTGAAGCAGCTTAAGGCTGGTTCTCACGCAAGGGTGGAATTTGTGCAGTAGCAGCTGCGTGCGTGGAGCGCAGCGCACACTAACAACGTTATTTTATCCGAGGTTAGCTTGAAGAGGTAATTATGGGTAGAGACTGAATACATGCTTCCACACAGGTGTGGAGTGACTCTCTCAGAGAGAAAGAGATGGCCCAGCATGATAAGCAAAGACTGTAAGATTTATTCCATGTTTTTGCGGCATGCCACCGCGTCCCCCATTATGTAACATAGTCATGGTGCTCAGATCTCAAAAGCTCAGCGCCTGTGTAAGCAGTGTCGTGACCTGTGGCCGATCACAGGCTGTTGCTGTAGCTAATTACAAACCTTTAGTCATAGCTGAGGTCCTGAGCTTCAAAAAGTAACACTTTGGGGAGTTTAACTGTGGAATAGTATGGCCCATTTCTCCAGGAAAGTTGGCATGGCAGGGAACTGTACTGAGACAAAGAACATGTAAAGGCAAGCGTTTTTTCATTAACGGATGTTCTCGTAAGCTCAGAGCACTGTTTCATACACAGTAGCACTTAACAGGCAAGAAATTGAGATGGAATTCATGTCTAAAATTTGCAATGATAATAGAAATCAACTGTGAAGAAAAGATGATAATGTGTATTGAATGATAAGCTTGAAACTCAAAAGACAGAAGGCAGACTCTCCATCCCTTAAAGGACATTCTTAGCCCGTCCTAGACTGCTTAAGAGGGAGAACAATGAAATAAAACATTAGCGTCACCTCCTTCCCACCTCAGAGATACATGTGGTGCTGGAACTGCATGGAGGAATTGCCTCTTTCCTGGAGTGATTTGAATCTGCTGTGCCTGTTCGGTCCATATCTAAAATCCAGTCCATTGAGTGTGACCCAAAGCTGATGCTTCTTTGAAAGTTTGAACTTGCCAATCTTCCCATAATATAGAGATTGACTCCCAGACCAGAGGGTGAGCTTGCTAAGGGCATGGGTCTGGTCTGGGCTCCTTGGTTTTGTTGTCCTTTGTTTTTAGCTACGTGTGTCCTCCCCAGATTTTAGATCTTAGTAGAAAACAGTGCCTGGGGCATGCACACTGCGTAAAGATTTTATTTGTGAGTCAGAGAGCTTTCCCCAAAGTTCTCTGAGCATCAGTTGGTTCTCTTTAGAATCTTGGGAGGCTTGACTCTCACACAGGAAGTCCTATGAAAGGGCACACTGTAGCTGCTGTGTTGATCTGTGTACCGTCACTCTACAGCCATGGCACCTGCCCTAAATCAGCAGCGACCTGTTGTTATTTGTCCATTTTGTAGGAGAAAATACTCAGTATTTCTCTTCATTTTAACTTCGTCCTTTTTTGAACTTCTCTTAAGTCTTGGCCGCCTGCTATAATTTGTCTTATAAACTTAACGAGTAGGAGAAGTTTTAGAAGTATGAAACCACCTCAGAAACCTCTGATCACACTTAGTATTAGAGGTTCTTTTTTTTTTTTTTTTTTTTTTTTTAAAGTTATTTTGGTACATTACTGAGCAAGCTAACGTGATGACTGCACTTTGACCCTTACGCAGGATGAGATTTGACCTGTATCGGTGCATGTGCCTAGCCTTTAGAAGTTACCCCTGAGCCGTGAGTTCTCGTTTAGACAGTAATGCGCTTTTTTTTTTTCATTTAATTTATTCTTTTAATTCATTAGCCATAGGTTGGAGCAGCGGCTGGACAGGGCTCTTCAGTCGAGATTATAGGGAATTTGGGTGTACCTATAAGAGATCTGTGAAAGCTGGGAGAAAGTAACATCTTTTGTCTTCTGTTGGTCTTTTCACAGACGAGACAGATCGAGGGGTCGACCAGCAGGATGGAAAGACTCACCCACAGTCCCCTGGATGTGAGGAGAGGGACGCTGGCCAAGAGGAATTAATGAAGATGAGACTACCTACTCGCTCAGACATGATATGTGGCTACGCTTGCCTGAAAGGTAACCTGAGAAGCAGTGTGGATGCAGCCTTGGGTGGCCTCTGCCGAGGGGAGGGTAGAGGAGGCCATGGAAGCCCGCCCTAGTGAAGACTGCCCATGACCCCCCCCACCCCTGGCTGTAGGCACTGCCGCCATGCGGAACACCAAGCGGGGATCCTGGTACGTCGAAGCACTCACCCAGGTTTTCTCTGAAAGAGCTTGCGACATGCACGTGGCTGACATGTTGGTGAAGGTAAGTCAGTGCCGGCCGACCGCCACTGCCCAGCCGTGTGTCTCCCTCCCTTCCGGTCGGTCCGTATCGCGGGCGCACACGTGGTCTGAGACGTGGACCGTTGGCTCTGCACCCCCAGGTGAATGCCCTTATCAAGGAGCGTGAAGGCTACGCCCCTGGCACAGAGTTCCACCGATGCAAGGAGATGTCTGAGTACTGTAGTACATTGTGCCGGCAGCTGTACCTGTTCCCAGGACACCCGCCCACGTGACGCCACCGCGGTCCGCTGTCCGCTGTCCTGCTTTGGAGGCCACTGGACCGCTGCGGGCACAGGGAGCCTTTGCTTCCGGATGAGTTTTTCTTTTCCCCTTTCTACCCCCTCAGGGATATGAGATTCTCCCAGGCTTATTTCCTGTTGGCCATCTCCATCTTTGGGTATGAGACTTAAAGATAGCTCCTCTGGTGTGGCGGTCTCTCCCTGTACAGCCCCTCTGAATGGATTTGTTGCCAGAAGCATTTTGGCTATAGCCGAAGAGCCTGGAAAATGCCGTTGTGAACACAGTATTATTGTGGAGTGAGGGCATATGGGTTTCCTAATGTTTGACATTTCTGTTCCCAGGGCTTTTAGGGGTTCTTTGCTCATTGCCTTTGTTACGTCAGTTAAGGGATCTCAGAGATCATCTCCTATCTCTTTTTTTTTTTTTTTTTTTTTTTTTTTCCATGTCTACAACCTCAGTTGTCCCAGAGTATCAGGAAGCTGTCCCAATTTACTGTAGGTGTGTCCATCTGTCTTGATGAGGCAGTGAGGATTGGGCACTGCTACTTAAGCGGACATTCCTGTGTGCACCTCTGTGTGCAGAGGGCAGGCCGGAGGGGCAGGGCTGACTTCGGCTCCTCTGTGCTCTGCACAGCAGCCTCTGAGCAGAGCCTGAGGTCCCTGTGACGTGACACTGGAAGCTGTAGACATTCCCTTTGAATTGTCACTGAAGTGAGCCTTGTAGGGCATTTCAATATAAAAACGCAGTGACAGGTGAACGAGCCGAGTCTCAGACTGTCCCCTGTCACCAGGATGTCTCCTGCCTTACTGTGATTTCTGCTGAGCAGTTACTGTACTTCCTCTCTGGCCTCCAGAAAGTTCCTTGCTTTGCCCTGATCCTCCCCCCCCCCCCCACTTTGCCCCTATTCACTGTGAGGTCCTCCTTGCAGGGTCTTCTGGCCACTGAAGGTGTACTGTTGTGTATCTTGTTCCTTCAGTTTTTTGAGTCATTCCACCACCCCCCACACACTGTTTTTCTCTGTGTTAGTGAGGGTAGCACCATACCTGATATTCCACTAACCTAGAAGCACTTGTTTCTGCCTTTATGAAGCTTCATTATTATTTGTTTGCTTGTTTTCGAGACAGGGTTTCTCTGTGTGGCTTTGGAGCCTGTCCTGGAACTAGCTCTGTAGATCAGTAGACCAGGCTGGCCTTGAACTCATGGCGACCTTCCTGTCTCTGCCTCCCGAGTGCTGGGATTAAAGGTGTGTGGCATCACAGTCCAGCAAAACTTTATTATTCTTTAAAACCTTTGCATTTCCATTTTTGCCTCTCTTCCTCTTTATTTTCCACATTAACAGTAGTTTCAGTTGTTAAAATATCAGATGATGTCACTCCCCTGCTTAGAACACCAGCTTCCCGTTACACCTCATCTGAAATTCAAATCCTTACCCCAGTTTACAAGATGTGGCTCTTACTTTCCTTGCATCTCAGTAAGTGGTGATTTCTCGCGGTGTTCCAGGCGCGCGCGCTCTCTCTCTCTCTCTCTCTCTCTCTCTCTCTCTCTCTCTCTCTCTCTCTCTCTCTCTCGCGCGCGCGAGGTGTCGCAGGTGTCCTGAGCTCTGCTCTAGGACAGTGTCTGATGGCTGAGTCTAGTGGAGGCCTCCCCACCATGTGGCCACCACCCTCTGCTGAACCTCTCCCGACTGCATCCCTTCGCGAGCTTACCGCAGTTTGTAAGGGCACATTTGGTTGTCTCGCTTCTCGATGCCTTCCCTGCTAAGCAGAAAGCTCCCAGACAGCAGAGACCGTGTTTCTTTCTTACTGTGTTCCCAGTACCTGGCTGGCACTTATTAGGGCTTCAGTGAATGTTTCTTGTAAAAAAAAAGAAAAAAAGGGGGGGGGGGGAGGCAAGCAGCTAACAGATTAAATCCTACCTTTTAGCGATTTCTAAATTGTTCTTACAGCATAGAGTTTAATTATTGTTTGCACTTGTTTGGGTTTTTCAGGTGTTTTGTTTTTACCCACTGATTTGTTTTTGTGTTTAAAGACTTGTCACGTGTGAGACAGCTTCCTTCCCATCTCCATGGTGCCCAGCGTATTTGAGGCCTATGGTAGTTGAGGTGCTCGAATAATGTTTGTTGTGTGAACCAGGTGGTTTGAAGATTTGCTGCCAAATTCTGCCTTTGGGTCAGTATAGGATGCATATATCTCAGTGGTAGAATCTTCACACTTCCCACTGCCAAGATTTTGTATTGCCATCAGGTGCCAAATAAACGTTATACTTATTACTGATGCGTGTCTGGTGTCTGTTTTTGTAGATGCTCGGTCTTTGGGAGCTTTCCTATTCCACTTCCTTATTCCCTCACACTGCATCGCTTCTTCCCCTGAAATGCGTGCCTATCTGAAGTCCCCTGTATCTTTACTGTCTCTGTCTTTCAGTGTGACCGGATGTGGGGCTGTCTTCATTGGCATAACCCTCAGATGAGTACTTGTGGCTTACTTGGTTATGCAGTGGAGGCTGAAATAACTGGTAGAGATAAAAAGAGGAGGTATTCGTGGGGAGGGTACTGGAGTCCCATCTTTCATTTGTCCCAGATTAAAGACTTATCAAAGTAGAAATATTTAGCAAATTCTAGGTTGGCCATAAAAAGATGTGAGCATTAGGCTTCAGGTTGGTGTGCATTCATGGAAAGGTAGGCGTTTGAGTTGTGGCTAGAGAGGTTTGTGAGAAGCAGGAAGTTCTGTTGGAGCATTGCAGAGTCGAGCTGCTGCTGAGGGATGGCAGAGGCGTCTGCAGCCAGGGAGGGCATTGGGAGCAAAGGAGCCTAGGAGCAGGGAGCCTGGCCGGAGTGCCACGGGAAACCGTGAAGCTGGAGAAAGGGGCTACAGTAAGTGGGCATAGCTACCCATTTGCAAGATAGCAGACAAAGTGGTGTGGCCTCTTGGAGAGGTATGGAGCAGTGCCTGCCTGAACTGGATGGAGTCGATGCCCTTCCTGCCGGCCTGCCCTTGAATAAGGGAGTCAGGTTGGATTTCACAGCACTTTTACCTCTGCCAGGGGATTCTCTTCTAAAATTATCCCCGCCTGAGGTGGGGGCCGGCCTCTGCTGCCTCCCCATCCTGTTTCCTCCAAGCGGAAAGGAAGGAGGGGAGGGAGGGACCCAAAGGTGGGGGAAGACACTAGAGCACCCGGCGGGAGACTGCTTCCCTGGAGTCCCATAAGGGGGTCACTGCCCCCTGTTTTTCCCCAGGAGACACAGTAAGGCTCAGACTTTGAGCTACCCAGAAAGAAAGATAGGCTTGAGAGCATGTCCTCCAAAATCACCTAGCTCTGACTTTATCCCAGTGCTGCCTCTAACGATGCTGAGACACTGGCTAAAAGAAAAGGATCTGTCTGTTTTCCCTTAAAAGGAAGGAAAGGGTTTGTGTCTTTAAAAACAAACAAACAAACAAAAACACTGTAGGGGTTAAAAGTGATTATGCCAGGAAAACACAGTATTTGAGGAGACAGAAAGGTTAAGAACTGGTCTACACCAGAAGGCCTACTGCAGGGCAGGGAGAAAAACCAAGGGTGGAGGACTGAGCAGGGAGGCGTGCTGGGGGGGGAGAGGACTGAGCAGGGAGGAGTGCTGGGGGGGGCTGCGCCCTGGGGAGAGGACTGGGGGGGGCTGCGCCCTGGGGAGAGGACTGAGCAGGGAGGCGTGCTGGGGGGGGGAGAGGACTGAGCAGGGAGGCGTGCTGGGGGGGGAGAGGACTGAGCAGGGAGGCGTGCTGGGGGGGGGCTGCGCCCTGGGGAGAGGACTGAGCAGGGAGGCGTGCTGGGGGGGGGCTGCGCCCTGGGGAGAGGACTGGGGGGGGGCTGCGCCCTGGGGAACTTGCGGCTGCGATGCTGAAATACAGGGACTGGGTGGCTGTGGAGTCCATGCTGCCTGGGTCCTCACACTGAAAGATGAACGGAAACACCCTTAAAGACAGACGGATGGTCTGGGTGTGGCCCCTTGTCTAATCTGCCCTTGAGTGTGCTTCATTGGGCTGTAATGAACTGCCCATTTAGCGCAGACACACTGATGTTTGTTTTGGGTGAGAGTGTAGCTCAGTGATAGGATGCTTGACTAAGCATGGCCTCACTTTAGTCTGCAGTAATACAAAGTTAATTGCCCTGCGCGCTGGGGAGGTCAAACTAGCAGAGGTTGGAGCTGGAAAACGAGCATAACCCGGAAAGAAAATCTGTTCTTAAAATTTGGGGGTAGAGATGCTAAAAGACAAATCTCACAACTACTTATCTTGTGTAACATGGTTTAATCTTAGTATTGTGGACCATAGGAGACGGTCTAAAACTTTAGAAGAGCTGCGCGGTGGTGGCTTGGTGCTTTTAATCCCAGCACCTGGGAAGCAGAGGCAGGCAGATCTCTGTGAGTTTGAGGCCTGCTTGTTCTACAGAGTGAGTTCCAGGACAGCCAAGGCTACACAGAGAAACCCCTATCTCAAAAAACCAAACAACAACAACAAAACTTTAGGAGAATATACATAATACTTGTGTATTGTTTCCAAATTTAGGGCCTTTGTAGGACTACCCACTGCCCGACTTGGGACCGTCCACAGCAGAACCTAAACACTGAGTTAGTAAGAGTCTGGAATGAAGGATGGGCATCGTTCACATTTGGTTCTCTTGTAAAATGACAGCTCATGGGATTTAAACTATTAATTGTGAACACAAGCGGTTTCAACTCTTAAACACAGCACAAGTGGCCTACATATGCTGATGCTTCTGCAGTGAGAATCTGGGTCTTAGACAATTGTACTTGGTACTTTTCATGTGCACCCTATTCCTCCCAACCAGCTTGCCAGGGTGTGAGCATCTGGAGTCCCTGCTGGGATCTCAGTCCATGACCACACTGCTCTGTTTTAGTGGCACTAACGTGCTCAGAGATGTTTTGGAAGCAGTGGTCACATCTTTGTTTCTGAAAGTTTCCTACAGAAAGTGGTAACCTTCAGAGAGCCAAGCTCCACAAATGGGGAAAATCTGTCTCCGAAGCCCTCTGTTCTTCATTAGGAACCCCTTGATCGATCTCTGTTTTCTATCGTCTTCATCTAACCTATCCCTCCCTCCCATCCCAAATCTGTAATCTCTGTGGATGGATTGCAAGCCTTGCAGTCTCAGGGCCGATTCTAGAAAGAGCGTATTGTTTTCGGCTTTACCGGTATATAATTGACTATTAGAAATGGTGTACATAGTGAAGGTACACAGCCTGGTGTACTAGCATGCATGCTTTGTGAAATGATCCCCAAGATCCAGATTCATAAACATCATTTCATATCACCTGTATGTACATGTGTGGACACTTGGAACCTACCCCTAGCAGATTTCAGGTACACAGTACAGTATTGCTAACTGCAGCCACCATGCTTATTAGCTCTCTGAAACTCACAGCTGAATAACCCAAGTGTGCCCACGACCAGCATCTTCCCAGGGCTCCCAAAGCCCACTCCATCTCAGTCCGCGGCCTTCAACTCTGTGTGTGTGTGTGTGTGTGTGTGTGTGTGTGTGTGTGTGTGTGTGTTGTGGCTCTGCATATAAATGGCATGCACAGTATTTGCGTATGTCTGACATCTGAGCATTCTCTAAAAGGAAAGCGTCTTTGCCGCTGAGTCCTGTGCGTTCTCTTCCTTTATGCCTTCACCTGTTGACAGACATGGAGGTGTTTTTTATTAATCTGAGCTGCTGTGAATATGCCAGAGTGAACAAAAGATCACAGATCGCTGAGAGACGCGGTTTGTTTCCCTTTCTCTACATAATCATAAATAGGATTGTTGAGTCATGCGGTAGTTCTGTTTCTGACTTACTGTTTTCCATACGGACCATGACAGCGCCTCCCACTGTTAGCGCCCAAGGGCTCCCTTTTCCCTGAATCCTCACAGGTGCTTGCCACACTCGTCCTTGGTGTTGGCCATCCCAACAGGTGTGAAGCCATGTCTCACCTCAGTTAGTGTGTTTATTTCCCTTTGGTTAATGACAGTTCAACACCCGGAGAAGGCACTGTTGGGCCAGCAGCCCTGTATGGCCTGAGTTTGAGCCCAGGAGTCCACACAGTGGTAGCAGAGAGTCAGCACACACACACACACACACACACAGACACACACATAGAGACACACACACACACTCACACAGACACACACAGAGACACACACAGACACACATACACACACTCACACAGACACACACAGACAGACAGACACACACACACAGACACACACACACAGACAGACACACACACACACAGACACACACACAGAGACACACACATACACACACTCAAACAGACACACACAGACACACAAACACAGAGACACACACTCACACAGACACACACACATAGAGACACACAGACACACACTCACAGACACACACACAGAGACACACACAGACACACACATAGAGACACATATACACACACAGACACACATACACACACTCACACACAGAGACAGACACACACACTCACACAGACACACACACACACAGACATACACTCACACAGACACATACATACACACACAGACACAGACAGACACACATACACACACACAGACACAGACAGACACACATACACACAGACAGACACACATACACACACACAGACACAGACAGACACACACACACAGACACACACAGACACACATACACACACACAATCACACAGACACATACATACACACACAGACACAGACAGACACACACACAGACACACAGAACCACACATACACACAGACACACACACATACACACACATACACACACACAGACACACACACATAGACACACACGCAATCATATAGACACATACATACACACACACAGACACACACACACACAGTGATTTTTGTTTTTTTTTTTAAAGAGGGAAGCCAGAGAGATGGCTCGATGGTTAAGAGAACTCTCTGCCCTTGTAGAGGATCTACCAGCGTGCATGGTGAGCCCCTCACAGCTGCGATCTCCCAACTCTTCCGAACTCGTGGCCACCCGTACTTGGGTACATTCACACAGACTCGTAGTTAAAAATAATGGCACTTAGTGGTGTCTAGCTTCCCACTTTGAGCAATTCCATTTAGCCTAGGACAGAACCACATTGCAGACCAGAGACTCGGCATCCAAACCTTCAGTCCCTGAACTTGGACTTCCTAAGAGAGACCCCTCTGGATGGTGGATCCTGAAAATTAGTTTGTCTTAAAAATTGATGTGCCAGGCAGTGGTGGCGCTCGCCTTTAATCCCAGTACTCTCGAGACAGAGGCAGTTGCATCTCTGTGAGTTCAAGGTCAGCCTGGTCTACATGATGAATTCCAGGACAGGCAAGGCTACAAGGCTGTATAAAAAAAAAAAAAAAAAAAAAAAAAAAAATTAATACAATGCTGTATGGAGTACTTTGTCCCTTCATCAAATTTAATTTATTGAGTAGGAACGAGACGGTTACTCCTCTATCGCTTTTTTATTAGGTTCCCACTGTCGCCTCCCTTATGACCGTAGACTATTTCCTCCTCTCACCTGTTATCTAACCTTCCCTGGTAGAGCTGCCTCAGGTACCCCATTCCAGACGGAAGCTCTGTCCCTCCCTATTGACCTGAGCTGCTGGTGGGGCTAGCACATATGTCTGGGAAGTGAGAGACACCGCAGAACCCAAGGATGTCAACCCCGCTTCCTCCCCACAACATTCCCCACCCAGAGGGTGATAGGGGTGAGATCCAGGGGAGGCACCCAGGCTCGAGGGCAGAAAGCTGGGAGCCGAGCGTGCAGAGAGCTGGCCGCAGAAGAGTCCAGGGTCCAGGTCAGGACTGAAGCCTTCAGAGATGCCGAGCTGCAAACAGCCGGACCGGGAGAGATGACAGAGACACACCCGGCAGCTACTCTCGCAGAGTTCCCTGGCTGATGCCCAGAACTCTGAGTGGCCTTGCTCAGGGCCCTCTACCCTCGCCTCCCACGAGGTCATCAGGGAAGGCTCAGCTCTACACACACAGCCTGGAAATTGCACTAGGAAATTTTTCATCCTAGCCCCGATGATATTTATAGAAGGACTAGTGACTGGGGCTGTGAACCTCCTAGGGAAGGGGCAGTGCTGCTGGTGGCTAAGGGGACTCCCTGTTGGACTGCCCCATAGGTTCTCATGCTAACCCCCACCCCACCCCCACCCCACCCTCACACCTGCTTCGACCCCAGGAGGATCAGATGTGGCGGGGGTGGGGGGTGTCATGTGATGGAGAGACAGCTATAAATAGCTGGAGGTGGGCATGGTGCCCCAGACGCCTTGGGGACAGGCAAAAGCAGAGGCTTAAGGAGCTGCTGGGGGAGAGTGGGGGCGAGCAGGCCAAGGCCTGGCTGGGCTTGGGGGAGGACACATGGAGCGGTCCCAGTCCCAGCGGCACGGGGGTGAACAGAGCTGGTGGGACAGTGCCCCCCAATACCAGTACATGCCGTTTGAACATTGTACCAGCTACGGACTGCCCTCGGAGAATGGCGGCCTTCAGCACCGGCCCCGAAAGGACACGGGTCCCAGGCACAATGCCCACCCGACTCAGGTAAAGTCCGAGGTCAGCGGGCGGGAGGGGACAGTAGGCAAGCGTCAGTGGGGCCAAGGGTTGCTGAAAATTGGGAGTTGGGTGAGAAGGGGGGGACAGTGTTTATTTTGAAAGTTACATGGTAAATAAGTTCGAAATATGAAGGCCTCTTAAAGATCTGAGCTTGGTGTGTTCACATAAAACTTCCGTGCACTTTCAAACAGCCTTTACTCACAGAACATTTGAAGCATGTGGGAAGCCAGCAGAGCCGCCTTCAGAGTAACATGAAGAGTGCATGCTTATATAAGGAGAGTGGTTCCTGTGGAGCTGGAGGTGCTGAGGATCTCCTCTACCCGAACCCACATGCAGACAAGACAGCATGGGGTTTCTTCACCCAAGGAGTGCCCTGTAGAGTGCTTGCATAAACACACACACACACACACACACACACACATACACACACACACACTTCCCATAAAAGGCTGGAAAAGGGCATCGGGACGAGCAGGGAAACAGTGAATGATTTATCAGTGATCAATGACCAGTATTAAAATGAGCACACAAATGGTGTCAAGTTTTTAAGGGCTTGGAGGTACAATTCTGGTGGAGCACTTACCTTCCTTGTATGAGCCCCTGGGATCTTGTTTTTGAGGGTGTTCTTATAACTGTTGAAAGGTCAGCAAAAATGATTGAGTAAGTAAAGGGACTTGCCTCCAAGCCTGACAAACTGAGTTCAATTCCTGGGACCCACAAGGGAAAAAAAACCGGCTTCTACAGGGTCTCTCTCTCTCTCTGTCTCTCTCATTGTGTGTGTTTGTGTGTGTGTGTCTCTCCCTCTCCACACACACACACACACACACACAGTAATTAATTATAAAACAATTTAAGGTCTCTGCCGCTCAGGAAAGTGTAGAGCTGTGTCCAGAGGCAGTTACCAGCCAGGTCTTGGGGACAGCTGAGAGAAGACAAATGGGGATGAGCACAAGACAGGGAAGGAGAAATTGCTTTGGGAAATTTACAAGTGACTGTTAGCATAAATGCGTGTGCCTCTTCACTACAAACAGTGCAGAATGGGGCAGAGGGTCTGCGGGAACAGGCTCAGACTTCAGAGAGGGCACCAGTCAGGGTGGGAACCTGGGGGTGGGCTGTGTGGATGGCGTCAGCATGAGGGGCTGCGGATCCGTTCTTGAGCAGTTGCGATGGGTGGGCCCACAGTGGGGAGGGGCGTGTGCTGGGGATATCTAAGAACCAGCTCGTTCTCACGCTAGTGGTGGCCATTTCAGGAGAAAGCGGGCTGGCCACTTGACCAAAGGTGCAATTTTGTTTTGTTTGTTTTTTAAATACAGGGTTTCTCAGTATAGCTCTGGCTCTCCTGGAACTTGCTGTGTAGACAGGGTTGGCCTCAAACTCTCAGAGATCCACTGGCCTCTACCCCCCAAGTGCTGGGGTTGTAGGTATGCGCCGCCACCACCGCCACCACCTGACTAGTGAAAGCACTTTTTATGATGATGGGACACTTGGCTAAAGGAACTGGTGCTCCGTCTAGGAAAGAATGGCAAGTTAGTTTGGGAGCAGAGTTCATCCAGATTGCAACGCGCCTTGAACGCAAGCAGGAATGGACTGTTGTTTTCTTTGTCCGATACTTGTTCGGGAAAGTACCATACTTGCACAGAAGCTAGGATGCATAATGAGCTCCCAGGACGCAGAGTCATTAGCATTTTGTCAGGGTGATTCTGTTCCCGCCCTCAGCCCTGCACACGCTCGGGGACTCCACTCTGGCAGGCATTTCATCACTTGCACGGTCGGGTTTGATCTCTTACTGCCCTCGAAACCTGCCACAGTGTGGTGGTTGTTACTGCTGGGCCAGCAGAATGCATCTGGCTCTTACAGTGTTTTCCCAGCCTGGGTGTTGGAAGAGAACACCCTGTCCCCTCATTTCCCCCAGTCCACAACTCAGAGAGCTTAGGCAACCCCAGTAGTTGATCTTGAGTGGAAATATTTTCTGGTTTGTTGTGTGTGTTTGTTTTTGAGGCAGGATCTTACGCTATGTATCCCTGGCTGGCCTGGGACACTCTTATGTACATCAGGTTGGCTTCAAACTCAGAGAATCTCTGCCCCCTGGGAGTATTTTCCGTCTCTGGCTCACGGGGTGAGTTTGAAGGGAAATGCAGCCCTGTTCAGTCACTAACCTCATGAGCAGGATAATTAGAGTGTGCCTGCTCAGGACCGAGACATCAAACTGCTGCTCATATTGTGAAATAAGATCTCCTCTACCCAGGCTCTCCCAGAATCAGCCACATGGCCTGGCCTGACCCTGGCCCCAGAGGATGAGTTTTGGTAGGGTGTGTGGGGCCGGCATGAAGTGCTTAGTACTCTTACATCCTTCGTGACACAAGCGTGTGTGAGGACAGGGACACGCCCCTTCACCTGTTGGCAGGACTCAGTAGGTTAGCTCGCTTTGGGAAGCAGATTGACTCACCCTCTTGGGCCCAGCTCCTGTTTGTGTCTACAAGCTCTGGGATGCGAGCTGGGTGTCTCAGGGCAGACAAGCATAGCAAGGCAAAATGCAGGCGGCCACCATCCGGCCCTGTGAAAACGAAGCCCATTGCTGGCTAGGTTAGTGTGGCCTCTCTTGGTCTAAGTTGGGATCCTGGGGTGGGAAGTCAACGCAGGGGTACCATGAAAACATGGACACATGCAGAACACGGGTGACACATGAAGTTATGATTTCTGCGCAGTTCTTAGTACCTTCACTTCCAAGTAGACGTTAACTCCCTTGATAAAAGCCACCGCGGGTCATGATGTGCCTGGGTTGGGGGGACGGTGGGACAGAGGCAGGGTTGGGTGAAAAGTGGAAGGAAAATAGAAATCTGTGCACGGACAGACAGTGAGGTGTGGGAGATGGGGCGGCCACAAAGTGCCCCGAAACAACCTTCAGTGCCCAGATTCTCTGTGAAATCTAAGTCTGCCTGATGTCTTTCTGTCTCTTCCTGTGTCCTTTCTGTCTCCTCTACACAATAGACACTGACCATTCTCCCCCCACACAGATATATGGCCATCACAAAGAAAGTTATTCATCATATAAGAACCAAGACCGGGGGGCGCCCAAGAAGATGGGCTCCAGTTCTACACTGAATGGCTTGGATGAGGACCACTATTCTAAATGTCAAGGTGATGGGGGCCGACAATTGAAGGGACTTGGAAAAGGAGGTACAGGGATTGGGAGAATAAGTTGGATGTCCCATTACACATCTCCCAACACACACACACACACACACACACACACAGCCCCTCTTCAGGACGAGCACAGCAATTGGCAGAGATGTAACGTGATGGCTAAGGCACAAACAGTTTCCACCACCACTCTTCAGCCTGCTCCCGGAGAAGTGACTAGAAAGCTGCTTTCCTCCTCATTCACCATCCCCCTCTCCCTAGATTGTGTCCACCGCCTGGGGCGCATCGTCAGAAGGAAGCTGGGGGAAGACTGGATCTTTCTTGTGCTCCTGGGCCTACTGATGGCTCTCGTCAGCTGGTGCATGGACTATGTCAGTGCCAAGAGCCTTCAGGGTATGTCCTCCCCGGGCTGCTGCCCTCTACCTTCTCTGTACTGAAACCGTCCCTGAGTCCTTGCCTACGTCCACGTGTGCCTGAGCATGTTGCGCAAGTGGTCGGGTGTAAACTTTGCCTCCAGATAAAACTAAACTTACAGGAAGCAGATCAGCACCCATGCCTTTCCTGCCAGCTGCCACCCAAACTATGAGTGGCCCTCAAACAGGGTGACCGACTCGCGAAGCTTCCTCGGGGTTCTTCCCATCTCCGTCATGAAGTGTGCAAGCCTTGGGGGGGGGGGTCCCTTCAGTCGCCAGTGGCCACCCTCTTGCCACTAGCCAGGTGCTACAGCCTCTTACTCAACTGTGAGAGGCACCACAGCCACCAGCTACCTCTGCCAGAGCGAACTTGGACAGACAGCCGCCTGGCTCAACTCAGAGTCGCTGCATGGACGGTGGAAGGGATGATGCCCAGGGGCCAGGCGAACAAGATGCCCAGGGCAGGAGAGCAAGCTGGCAGGCAGGCTGTGTGGTGGTGTGACTGTGAGGGTGGCGGTAAGATCGTCTCCCTGACGCCCTTCCCTAGACGCTGACTGCCCCAGGTTATGCGTTCGTGTCCCTGCAGCCTACAAGTGGACCTATGCCCAGATGCAGCCCAGCCTCCCTCTGCAGTACCTGGCCTGGGTGGCCTTCCCACTTTCCCTCATCCTCTTCAGTGCTCTCTTTTGCCAGCTCATCTCCCCGCAGGCTGTGGGTGAGTGAGTCTAGACACAGTCGGGTTCCCTGCAGACTTCCTACTCTGGACTCCCTCCCTCCCCGTTTCTGCCTCCTCTCCCGTTGAAGCTGCAGCTCAAAGCGGTGCACGGTCCTCTTCTAACCCCTTAGGCTCTGGGATACCTGAGATGAAGACGATTCTCCGCGGCGTTGTCCTGAAGGAATACCTCACACTCAAGGCCTTCGTAGCCAAGGTGGTGGCCTTAACGGCTGGGCTGGGCAGTGGCATCCCTGTGGGGAAGGAGGTAGGTCTGCGTAGCTGACAGGAGGGCTGGCAGAGCTGGCTGGACTCCGCCAAAGCCAAAGGGCACGAAGAAGGGGAAGCCTTGGACGTTGTTCCTCACCCTGGAGTTGAGGACTGACTGTTAAAGCTGAGCAAACCTTACAGCAGCCCCTCAAGCTGGGCATAAGTATGGTTCGGGTCCGGAAAGCTCTGCTGGGAAGAGGGATGTTGCTCTGGGCCTGGGGGATACTAGCATTATCGACAATGGTAGCAGGCCCCGATTATGTCAGCCAGAGTATCCCTAGGAGACAACTGTCCCCTGCATAATCTGAGCCATTCTCCTTGCTATTTCTTGTTCAGTTACTTATTACTCATTTTTGTTTTGTGTCTGGTGGTTTGCTTGTCTGAAATAGTCTCATTCTGTAGCTCGGGCTCACCCGGGACTTACATGTAGCCCAGGCTAGCCCAAAATCAGCGCAGTCCCTGGGTTTCCCTTTGTTTTGCCGTGAGAAGGCTGAGAGCTAGACTCAGACTCCTTCCTCCAGGGTGACAGCTAGGCTCCTTCAGCTCCACCCTTGCGTCCACACTTGCCGTCTACTACCACGGACACTGCACACAGCAGCCAAAGCATCTTCGAAGGCGGAATCGGACACATCTGACCTCCACTCGGTGTAGTGTCAAGAGCTTTCCCTGTCACTTAATACAAGCTCTGCACCGCACCCAGCAGCTCCTCCGTCCCAGGCTGACCTGCCTCCTCCTGACTGTCTGGGCCTCCAGCCTCACTCCCGACTGCATCTCCCTGCTGGGATGATGAGGCTTTCCCCATCTTTCCACCATGCCATGCTTGTCCCACTGAGGACCCCTGCATTTGCTGTCCCCTCTGCCTGGAACACTGTCCCTCTGACACGCACGAGAGCCACCCACGTAATTGTCACTGAGGCCAGGGAGTGGCGCCTTCTCCTCCACAGCCCATCTCTATTGCCTTGCCCTTCTCCGTTAGCTTCCTAGCCTTGGCGTTACCTGGAAACACTCTGATTTCTCACCTCTCCGTCCCTGGCATGGGTCTCCTTTAGGGCGGGACTTTTGTCTGGCGTCTCTCTTTCCTAGCCCAGGGCCTGGAGCAGGGCAGTGTGGTTCAACGGGATCTCCATGCTTCTCTTCCATCCCTGACCCCTGGCTCTCCCATTCTCTTCCAGGGTCCCTTTGTACATATTGCTAGCATCTGTGCTGCTGTCCTGAGCAAGTTCATGTCCATGTTCTGTGGTGTCTACGAGGTAAGGGTGAAGCAGTTTTAGCCCAGCAGGGGCTGGTTGGTGAAAGGAAGCCCTCAGTGTGTGCAGAGATGGCAGGGGAGGGCTGCCTGCTCTGGGCTGGCCTTGGTGCTGAAGGTGGTGTCTCACTAACCCACGGTCCAGTTCTCCGTGTCCGCGCCTGGTGGTCCTAGCCACAGCGTCTCCTCTGTCCAGCTTCTGTCTGTCTCCCTAGCGTTCGGCCCTTCGTGGTGTGCCTTCATAGGATGACCTGAGCCAGGCCTGTCCCATCTTACCCTCCTCACCCACACAGCTGTGTCAGCCCCTCCCCTCCCCTCCCCTCCCGGGCTTGCTCTGTCCCTTTGCAGCCCCTGACAGCCATCCACGCTGGTTTACTCATTGCCTTGCCCGTCCGCGGCACCTGCCTTGCCCGTCCGCTTCTCTGTTGCAGACCGTTCCCCGGGCCGCTTGATCTCCTGGTGCCAGCCTGTGCAGTGGGCGTGGGATGCCGCTTTGCAGCCCCTGTTGGAGGCAAGTCTCACTTCCTCCCTCCGTGGGTTGCCTGAGCCAGACTTGGAGGGGGGTTGGGGTGTGCCTGCGCTAGGCTAGCTCTTGGGTAGAGGAGCCATGCTCGCTGAAGGGACTGATGGGTGGGCATCCAGGGAGTGCCTGGGTTGCAGCCTGTGGTCTCCAGGGACCCACGCGCCTCTGCTAAAGAGCTGAGTGTTCCTCTGACCCTGCCGCTCTCTGCTGCGGGAGTTACTGCTACTTCTCTGTTGCAGTGAGAATCCTTGCCTGCCTCTTGCTACCCATCCTCAGCCCCTCTTTGTCCGGTCGTTATCTGTCCATCTGCCTGCCTGATACCTGTTTACTTAACGTCTTCCCTTGGTTTGTTTTTAATTGTTGGCCCTGAGCATTTGAGGTCTTGGTTGCCGTACTCATTGAGTTTCTCCTGGCCTGGGAACCAAAGGGATGCTGGGACCATGTTTATTCCTGTGATGCAGCCTCTCATCCTTCTTTGTTTCTCGTCCCTACATACCCTGTCCCCATCTCTCTGCCCTGCCCCTTCCCCTGTCTGTCTGTCTGTCTGTCTGTCTGTCTGTCTGTCCCTAGTAGCAGCCATACTATTACAGTGACATCCTGACAGTGGGCTGTGCCGTGGGGGTCGGCTGCTGTTTTGGAACACCACTTGGAGGCAAGTCTGCCCCATCCACAGTGTGCATGGGCCCGTTTGCCGTACCTTGCTCAACTAGCTAGCTCTTGTCAGCTTCACCAAGGTCTGGAATTAACCATTTCCATATAACTAGCAGTGCCATATGCCCCGTGCCTTGTTCTAACCATTTTACGTGGATTCCCCTTAACGCTTGTGTGGTTTGATAGCACCGCGTTATAGAAATGCCAGTGACTGGAGCAGGGGCACCTACAGAGCCGGAGATTAGAACCACAGCAGCCCCCCTGGTCCCCACTCATGCTGAAGGCCTTTTGCCTCGCGGTATCTTTGCTTTACACTACCGTTTTGTGGCAGGAAGCTCTGTGTCCTTCCTGCTCCGAGGGAAAACTTCCTCTTGTATTTTGTTGATGACACTAGGGTCTGGTAGACTGTGATAGAATCGTGGTGAACTTCAAAATGGGAAGTACTTATGGGAAAGTTGTTTCTTGATACGCCAGCAATTTACAAGTGGGTTTTACTCTTTCTATCCATATAAGGACAAGATATTATCATGGATTATTAATTACAGGATATAGTCACAAAAAGGAGCTACTTCCTTACCAAAATTGAGCTGTAGCTATGTTAACGGGGCAGGGATTATGTGGTTCACTGGTGATGGAATTCCCATGTTGGTAATTGAAGAAATAGAGTTATAGGAAGGGTGTGTGCTTTTTAAACAACCAGCTGCTAGATGGCAATTAGTCTTTCCATAGATGAGCTTCCCGTACCTGAAATGGCTTGGCTGGGAAATGGTGTGTTGTATCGGTGAGAGTACCTCCCATTGCCTTGTCCTCACACGGTGGAAACACGCAGCCCGAGCAGGTCGGGGCGCACGCACACGGGGCGCGCCCTCGCCACTGGCATCCCATTTGCCTTCCGTTGTCCAGCCGCAGCCGTTAAAGTCGTCAGCCCCTGTCAGCGTCAGATGTTCACCCCGTATCTGTGCACACACGGCCTTCACTTACCCCCTAGCCTTCCAAATAAAAGGAGAGTGTGTGGTTGTTTTGGTTGTATTAGGACTGGACCGGACCTCCTCACCTTAGGAGAGTTACGGTAAAGAGTGCTCTTGAGCAAGAAATTGCTCAGGCTGTTGGGGTGTGCTGCAGATGGCAAACATTTCTGCAGGTGGCAGCACTTGATTCTTTCTTGTGAATATACAGTCACTGAAGGGGAAAAGTGTAGTTTTGAGATCCTCTACTCACAACAAAGGCAATTCCAATTCCTTATACTGATCAAAGAAATATAATTCAGCATCCGATCGAAACAACCAAAGCCCTTTTGCCTTCATTTTGTGCCACGAACTTGGGTTGTTCTGCACTCTCAAGGGGCTCAAGGAGACCACCACAGGCAATTAAAGACCCTGTGCCATTCGTAGGCAAAGAGCAAGGACCCTTCAGGGGGGAGGGGGGACTGTGAAGCATTATGAAAGAGACAGTGTTGGTCGTGGGTAAGTTGAAGCCTGCAAGGAGGAAAGGAAACTCCGAACAAAATGGACAGGATCCAGAGTCAACATCTGCCCTTGCATTTGTGGGTTAGTGCTAGGGAGACTGGGGAAGTAGAGTAGAAGTGACTCAGAGCGGATGAGTGGGGCTGAATCGTGATGTGACGGTCTGCAGAAGTCGTGCAGAGTAGTACGGGTTTCATTCTCTAGGGTAGTGCCCGCCCAGATATTTTTACAGAGCACAGTGCTTCCTGGTGTTAGTCGGTGTAATGGGTGGAAACCTGTTGCAAGTTCCAATTGGTTAGAAAAGTGCATGGTTAAAGAGGAATAAATACGTAGTTAAAAGACTGATGAACTGCAGAGGTTATCAGACCATCTGAGATGTTGGAATGTCTTGTGAACACCCAAGGTAGCTGCAAACAGCGTTCCCTACCAAGCCCCCTTTGCAGAGGCCATGTCATAGGACTTAAGTCATCTCATGGGACTGCCTTTGTGAGGTATTGTTGTGAAACTGTGGAAGGATTTAAAACAAGGAAGAGACATGGTTAGCTCAGCCTGCTCATCCAATCCCCTTGGCACATGTGTGCAGAATAGAATTGGTTGTGGATTAGCGGGGGTGATCTAAGATTAACAGGAAGATATTGTCATCGTCCTGATGCTAGACGATGACAGACAGAACTGGGCAGCAAAGGAGGTAGAGGAGGGGCCGAGAAATTCAGGGGGTATCCAGTCAAATCGATGCTGCGTGTTGGCTGGTTTTTATGTGAAGGTAGGAAGGAGAGTTCTGTGCCAACACCCATGCTTAGCTCTGGCAATCCATAGGTAATGATATTAGTGACTGTGAAAGAGGACACGGGAAGCTCACAGGGGCTGGAGGGGAGTGGACAAATTTTACTTGGAGATACTGAGTTAAAATTCCCATGGCATGGCCAAAAAATATAAAGTAGGCAATCCAGGGGCTGAGCTAGATCTACTCAGTAGCCTGTGTCCGTGGCCGACTCCACGGGCATAAGTGGAATTAAGAAAGATTATGCCTGCAGTTAGCAGAGCTAGAGACCAAGAGCAGTAAGTGCCTGTCTTCATTGGACAGAGGCGCCCAGAGGCGCGGGAGCAAGAAGAGGAAGTGGAGAAGGGACCCCGGGGTGGAAGAAGAGAACAGTGTTCCAGACCCAAGACACCAGAGTGGCTAGCAGCTGTGCTTGTCTCCAATGCTCTCTTTCCTCTTAGCAACACGCCGTATGCTTGTCTCAGGTGGTAGAGACCTTGGCTCCCAGTCCTGACCACACTGTGACAGGCTGCGGCAGAAAAGCCTCCCGGGTCTATATGAGGGGTGGTGGTGGTTTTAACGTGTAAGTTAGGCAATGGCACCCAGGCAAAGCAAAGCTGCTTTTACTTCTATTATGGAAAAGCCACTGTGGCGTTCTCTCCCCCCTAGGATCTGAAGAGCAGGGCAGATCCTGTTTGTTTTGTTGTTTGTTTTTCAAGACAGGGTTTCTCTGTGTAGCTTTGTAGACCAGGCTGGCCTCAAACTCACAGAGATCCGCCTGTCTCTGCCTTCCAAGTGCTGGAATTAAAGGCGTGCGCCACCACTGCCCGGCATGGTTTACTTCTGTTTGTTTTATGTGAATTGGTGCTTTACCTGCATGTGTGTCAGATCCCCTGGAGCTGGAGTTATAGGCAGATGTGAGCTGCTGCTGCGGGGTCCTCTGAAAGAACAGCCAGTGCTCAAATACTGAGCCAGCAGCCTCTCCAGCCCCCTAGGCTCCTTCTCTGAAGTTCCTCCCGCTGTGATTTTTCCTCTTCCGTCTCCTCTCCTCCTCTGTCCATCCTCGTATAGATGGCACTGAGCCCCAGATGGGCACTCACCACTGTGCTGGGACTTAGTTTCCAAGGAACCTCCGATCCTCGGGAAACTCAGCAGTGTGGACAAATAGCTAGATCAGAAAGTGGAAAATAAAATGCCAAAATACCAAGAGAGCAGGTCGAGGGACGGATGGTCTCCACTTGACTAGGAAGACTGGGGATGGCCTTCCAGAGGAGACAAAGGGAAAATCCTCTGCCAAAGCACGGCTTTGGCTGCCGGAGGCAGTGCCACCGAGCTGCCACCCCCTTGCTACATAGACTCAATGTGACTAGCCACTGTCCCCTGCAAAAAAAGAAAAAACAGTCTAAGAGATGTGACTTTTGAATACAGGCTGGAAGAGAATTCCTATGATGTGATCTGCTGTCTGAAGAGCAAGGCAATGGCCGGTCTTGAACAGACCAACAATTTACACGGCGGGGGGGTGGGGGGGGGGACAGACAGTCTGCCTTGTTCGTGGGTTTTCTGGTTTTGTTTTGTTTTTCATCTTGGGCTGGTCCTCATCTCCATGTGTCTCAGTTTCTATCCTGTTTGCTACGGATGAGGCTTAGCCACGTTGTAGGAGTGTTTGTTACTGATGGCCTAATCAAAGATCAGCTCCCTTGTCCTGACGCTTACGGCTTCTTTTCTTTGCTCAAATGGTGCCTTCATGACTTCATAGGCATTGCGTCCTTGGGCTTAGCCCTCCTAGTGCGTGTGCTACGGGTCTCTTGCACCTCACCAGTGCTGAACACCTGCTCCGGACCCTTCTTTCATTTTGATATTTCTGCAGAACTGTTTTGATTGTCCATAAATCTCCCTGGATATTTGACAGCTGTGAACCCCATTTAGTCCCTGGAGTATACATTCTTGAGCCTGAAGTTTGGGAGTTAAGAGTCTGTCCATTTTCCTATCTTCTCGGTGTCTCATTGGTCCACATTCCTGGTTGGGGAGGAGGAGGAGCTCCTCTGGGCAAGTGTGTGGTTGATTTCAAGGGGCCACGGAGTATCCCTTCCCACGGCCCCTCCCAGACTTGCAATTGAGGTGAAGCTCCTGAGATGCCCTCAGCGGGAGGCGTGGGAGTCCTGACCGGCTTCCCTGCCCCGCAGGAGTACTGTTCAGCATCGAGGTCACCTCTACCTACTTCGCTGTGCGGAACTACTGGCGAGGATTCTTTGCAGCCACATTCAGTGCCTTCGTGTTCCGTGTCTTGGCGGTGTGGAACAAGGATGCTGGTAACAGGGGAGGTCCCGGTGGAGGTGGTGCGAAATAGGGATGGCGGTGGAGCAGCAAAAAGTACCGGCTGGAGCGCTTGAGAAAAAGGATGGGCGGTGCTGCTTGAAAAGCAGCCAAGGCTCAGGGTAGAGGGAAGGGTTACATGATGGTGTGGGGACCATAACCACGGATGCTGGTAGGGAAGGGGAGAGCGAGGCTGGGGTTGAAGGAAGGTGGGACACCTTAACATGACCTCGCTTGCCGCCCGTGAGTGTCCCATCGTAATGCCAGCCTCTTCTTCCTTCCGACAGTCACCATCACTGCCCTATTCAGAACTAATTTCCGAATGGATTTCCCCTTTGACCTGAAGGAACTTCCAGCGTTTGCTGTGATTGGGTCAGTGGGACCACTCTTTCCGGGTGTGGGGAGCCGGGAACGGGCTGTGGCTGTGGACTGGGAGGGACTGGAGCCAGGATAAGCTGTGGAGGGCATAAAGCTTGAACTGTGAGGAAGGGGAGGGGCAGGGTGCTCCTTTGCTTCTCCGCAGGGTCTGGGTCACAGCTGCAAGCTCTGTGTCCTTGCACCCCAGGATCTGCTGTGGGTTCTTGGGAGCTGTTTTCGTTTATCTGCATCGCCAAGTCATGCTCGGTGTCCGAAAGCACAAGGCTCTCAGCCAGTTTCTTGCTAAGCAGTGAGTCATTGCCCCTGCCCCTGCCCCGCCCCGCCCCGCCCCGCCCCGCCCGCTTACCTTCTGATGTCCCCCAGCCGGTCCTCCTTTAGGTGGGAACTTCAGGTCCCTCAGGTCAATGGTTCTCAATATGTGGGTCGAGACCCTGCCTGTCACACATGTACACTACAGTCCATCGCAAAACTGCGGTTATGAGGTAGCAATGAAACAATTCTGTGACTGGGGGGGGTCTCCACAACGCGAGCGACGTACTAAAGGCTTGAGAGCCACTGCGTTGGGTGGAGTTGCCGTGTGCAGACAGCTCTGGGTGCTTCGTGTGCCGGCTAAGTGGTGGGGGCTCACGCTGTCTCTTTTCCAGCCGCCTGCTGTACCCTGCAATTGTCACTCTGGTCATCGTGTCACTCACCTTTCCACCAGGAGTGGGTCAATTCATGGCCGGAGAGGTCAGCTCTAGGGGCTCGTGAGGCCAGGGTTGGGGTTAGCCCAGTCTGCCCGCCCGTCTCTGTGCCGAGACTTGGGGCTTGTGGAGTTTTGTCCAAGGGTAGAACTTTCTCCAGGAGAAAAGATCAAGGGAGCCCTGGACTAGCGAGGCTGGGGACGGGCTCTCTATCACAGGGGTGCTGTAGGCGGCTAGAAAAGCTGGCTCCTCTGCTTCTCCCCCCCCCCCCACAGCTGATGCCCCGTGAAGCCATCAGTACCCTGTTTGACAACAATACGTGGGTAAAGCACACAGGTGACCCCCAAAGCCTGGGCCAGTCAGCTGTGTGGATTCACCCCCAGGTCAACGTGGTCATCATCATCTTCCTCTTCTTCATCATGAAGGTAACCCTGCCTGCCCCATGGCAGCCCCGCTGGGCGCCTGTTGTGCGGGAAGAGTAGAACTTCACCTGGCCTGTGGCCAACCTAGACAGAGACCAGGAGGAAACCTCGGCGTAGCTCGCCTGTCTGTCAAAAGGAACCAGGGTGTAGTTTAATTGCTGCAATCATGTCAGCTTACTGATGCTTGCCATGACTCTAATAAGCCTTCTAACAGTTCTACTTGTTATCTTTTTAAGGTATCAAAGCAGCCGAGTAAATCTGAGCAGGGTAGAGTTTAGCAATACAGATAGATGTGTAAAAACCCCAGACCAATTAACCAAATTCCTCCCGCGTGTTAGATAATTAGAGACTTAATCTCCACGGGTCTGCTGTTCACTTTCAGGCGGTTTGCACTCAACTCCCGCATCTCTTTTCTAGAAATTTGGAGATGGTGAGATACCAAATCAACCTCATTAATGAGTGTAAATAATTTTTACAAATGTAATTACCCTCCACTTAGGCAGGGAGAGTCGTATAAGGGTTTTTCTAGACTAGGACAGATTTTCCTACTATTTCCTAATTAGGAAATGAGAGCAAATATCTTTTACACTTCCTTTTTCGAATCTGTTCGTCACAAATTATAAACGTAGATGCTTCGAATTACTACCTTGCACAAAGGTCATTATTTTTTTAATTTCCCTTTCAGTGATTTCTCTTTCACTAGTAGCGTGCCTGAAGTATGGACATCTTTGTCCAGCCTAAACTCTCATGCTTTGCAACACCTAGCTCTTATTTATAACACTTTTGTGATTCTGTATTGTACAAGAATGTGGATCACTAACATATTGGTATCGTTCTCACAATACAGTGAATTCATTTACTCAGGAAATGCTATGGAACAGCGTATGGCAAGCACATAAGTCTTGGTCATTGGCCTTGGGCTAATTTTATATTTCCTTGTTTCTTGCCGCTGCCTGTTAATGTACTTTTCAATGATATTATTATAAAAGATACCAACTGCTTCATACTTTGGCTCTCAGATCTCAGGCTTAGGCTCCCAAGGATTGCTGAGGATTTCTTCTTCCTTACCTCACCAAAGGTGGACTTACTGAAGCTATCGCATCCATATTTTACCCTTTTTATTATTCTCATCTTCTCTAATTTATAAGTTCTGGCTTTCTATACTGGTTGAGTTTTGGGGGACATAGGGAGTCAAGTAAAGTCTTATTTTGTAACTCGGGGTTGCATTGAACTTGTCCCTTCTTGAATGCTGGGTTTTATAGCATGAACCCCAACACATGGACCGTGAGTTACCTGCCGAGTCTATAATCCCATCTGCAGTAATCCAGTGCACGTTTGGGTGTTATTTCAGGATCTATGATCTAGTAATGATAGAGCTTGATCCAAGCTATGTGTCTGTCACCTTTGTGGTCATATAGACTGTGAAAATGTCAAGATTTTGAAAAGTTTTCTAAAAATAAAATGGGGTTTTTTTTTTCCCAACACTTACTCCTTACCTTATCCACATCTCCAGATTTCTAGCTATGTGTCTTTACAAAGTCAAGCTTATTTATTTTCAGAGCCCCACTTGGATGGTATAGAAGGGCTCATCTGCATGTCACTATAATTAACTTCTCACTGAATTACAGCCTAGAGAACATTCACATTGTAAGTGTACAAGAAAAAGAAACACATTCTGGGCTATATTTCAAGCCCAACAGTTTTCAGAAGATCTACAATATTCTTTAATATTTCTAATTACAAAAACATTCCTTGCTGCAAATTCAGTTTTATCAGTCCCTGCTTCCCAGCATTTTTATTTCCTAATCATTGGACTCGCAACCATACTCTTATTTTTTTTTCCAAATGTGAAAAATAGGACATGTAGACAAATTAAAATATAAAACTACTTATACCCATCTATTTTTGTTATTATAATTAAATGTCTGAGGCAGGCTCTACCATACAAGGAAAAGAATATTTTGGGCTCACAGCTCTGGACATCCAAGGTCGCAGGGTTACACTCTTGCTAGCAGAGTCCTAAGCTGTGCAGAACTTCACACGGTAAACAGCAAGGAGACCCTGTGTCTGTGTGCATCTCCTCCATTCTTGGAAATCTACCAAGAAGCCATCGTTGACGCGCACTTTAGTGTCTGGCCTAATCCTAAACCGTTTCAAAGGCCTCCACTTCTAAGTACCACAGCTGGATTAGATCCTCACCCTCTTGATAACTCACAACAGAGATGAAATTTCCAAAAGGAATCCTGTGAGACACTCCAACTGTGCTCAATCCAAAGCAGGGACTAGAACTCCCTCTGCACTTGGATTTAAAATCTGGCCCACGCGGCCTTCTGGCAGTGTCAGTGAGGTAGGTCTTAGTCTCGATTCAGCTGTTTCTTAATACTGGTGAAAGAAACATCCCACGCTCCCGGTTTTCCCAATTTCAGGGCGGGCAAGGTATCGTCCTATTGTAAGTCAAGGGATTTCGCACGAACATGGTTGCAATTCCAACATCTCCTCTCCCTTTTAATAAGACTAAGAGTGTTGCCTGGTTCAGCATAGCCTGAGGCTCTGTGGGAGCCTTTTTGCCTGGTTTTCATGTTACCCTCCCTTGTGATGGGTCTAAATGTAATGAATTCAGTGAGAGCAGGTTTCTGGTTTCTCGGTTCTGCAGAGCTGCATCTTTAAGTCTTAAAAGTTCCCTGTGTGCCTCATCACTCCTGTTCCCCCCCCCCCTTTGTGTGCCAATAGCTAAAAAGGTTTGCTAATCTCAGTCACCCAACTTTGTGCGGTGGGATTTGTAACTTCAACATTATCTGGTCTTGATCTAGTTGTTATCCTTATCTGTGAAGATAATCTGCTTTACCCTCTCAACTTAGACCTATCCATCACCCATCATCTGTACCACTGGAGTTTTCAAATAACCCAAGCCTACAGAATCCCTGTGGCTCCCATGTACCTTCTTGATGTGTTAAATGCCGTCACTTAAGACGCTTAAGCAACAAGTGCACGGAAGCATGCCTCCAGATTGTCTGGTAGGGTGGTTTCCAGAGGCATCTGCCCATCTGGAAGTTCTCTCCATGAACTATTCTTTGCTGTGTTTAAGGGAACAGAAAGCTTTGAGGATCTTTTACTGTTTTGTATGAATATTGTTCCATCAACACATTGTCTCCGCTTCCTCCCTTCCTGCCTACGTTTATGAAGTATCTCGCCACGGAAAAGGAGGCAGAAATAACGAGGTTCACCTTTTCCCCCAAGAAACTTGTCAGGCTGCATTCTCTTCATTTTGCACATCTCACTCACAGTTCTCGACTGCCTTGATGATCTTCTGCCGACACGAACTACATGTTCCGCTTTGGCTCACGCTTCTAGAGTAAAACTTTCCCGGGGTCTTCATCCCTGCCTCTTCCTGCCTCTTGGGTTCAGCTTTGGCTTAAAGGAATGCTTCCTAAAGTTCATCAAAGTAAGACATTTATTTCTCATTAGTATGTCACGCACATGAGCCAAGGCGCTGCAGATACTTTAATCTTAACACCTTTTTAAACATTTAGCTGTTTTCATCTTGTACCTAATGAGTTTGGAATCCTTTCCTAAGATTGGCTAACTTACATCAGTATCACTTTTAAAGCTATGTGTCCTCACATGTTTATTTTTTTCTTTAGATGTTTAATGTTCAGCCACTATTGCTGTTCTGCTCATTCTTTGCCTCAGAGTATACATACTGCTTTTACTATAATTGTCTCAATTTCTGTTGGCATAGTGCCTTGCAAAGTTGACCTTGGATATCTTTTTCTGTTATATTGAAAGACTAATCAGGTTCTCTGTTTGCCCCTGTGGTACAGCCAAGACAGGTCAACCCCCCCACTCACTCCCCCAGTACTGGGGATTAAACACAGAGCCTCACAGATTCTAAGAATATACTCTATCACTTTGTCCCCAGGATCCAGATATAATTTTGATCCTTGTTTAAGGTGGTTTGATATCAAAGACAAAGGCTCAAATAGAGCAGTCTTCTCTTCATATTCCTGTGAAGCCTGCCTTCTGCATGGCTCTGCAAATGATCAAATCAAAGTTAAATTATCCATACAAAAATTCAGTAGACTTTAAAGCATCCACCACATCGATCTGGGGCTCTTTTATAGAAATAAGCTGAGCAGGAAGAAGCATTCCCAGCTTAGGGTCTGGGACTACTCCACACAGTGGGGGCTGGGCTTTCTGAGTTCACTAGGTGAGGGTCTTTAGGGAGCAGCGACAGAGGAATCCTCTGGGAGTTCCTTGTTCTAGGCTACAGGAAGGAAAACATAGTCACTGAAAGCTGGAAGGATCTGTGTTAGCCATCTGGAAGAACTTTCTTACCCTGATGTCTTTGTTGGTCTCGAAGCCCGAAGGCACCAAGTTGTTCAGACTCTGAAGAATGGTGACAGACAAGGTTTCAGGGTTAGCTACCACAGGACACTTCTGTTATGGCTCTTGGAGGAGCAAGGAGGGCAGGGGAGAGAGAGGGGTGTGGAGATACTCTTGGAAAGGGCATTCTAATGTTTCTTTTTTTATCTTAGTTTTGGATGTCCATCGTGGCCACCACTATGCCCATACCCTGTGGAGGCTTCATGCCTGTTTTTGTTCTCGGTAAGGGTTGATGGCACCACCTTGATAGTTATACTCTGGGTGGGTGGTGGGTGAGAGAACAAGGCAGAAACCTAGCACCCTGGGAGTTTGTGGTCTCGGTGCCTAAGCACGGACTCTGCTGAAAACACAGAGACAAAGAAAATTTATCTTAAGATTTGCCTCTTTATCTTCCCTAGGAGCTGCATTTGGAAGGCTGGTAGGAGAGATCATGGCCATGTTGTTCCCTGAGGGTATCTTATTTGACGACTTCCTCTACAAGATCTTACCTGGGGGCTATGCAGTAATTGGTGAGACATATTCCTAACCTCTATAGCCAGACATTGAGTACTTCAGTCAAAGTCCGCTAATACATCTTCTTTCAAGGTACAACAATTTGGTTTAAATTCAATATTGTTCCGTTCAAGTTTTGTTCAAACAGCCACTCTTGGCTCTGCCCCTTACTCTTTCTTTTGTTTGTAAGCCTTAGTTCCCGCCTGTGGAAAATGGATCGTAGGAATCAAATAAGAAAATAGAGATGATTCAAGACCAGCCTGGTCTACAAAGTGAGTTCCAGGATAGCGGATAGCCAAGGCTATGCAGAGAAACCTTGTCTCAAAAACCAAGCCAAAACAAACACACAAACGAATGAGTGGCTAGAAGGATGGGGTCCCTTGTGTTAATTTTGCATATTTAGTGGGCGTTCTTTTTTAAGAATCAAGGAACCAACAACACAGCGGATGGGCCCAGGGCATCCGAACTGAACTGTGTTCATGTTAATAGGAACTAATAACACAGGGGTAAGGATGGAGAAGCATGAGCCCTGAGCTTCCAAAATGACTTTTGGGGTAGACCTATGTATGGCACCCCAACCCTGATCCTAGTCCATTTACAAAAGCTTCGTTTATCAATAGGAATCTCCTGTTCTCTTCATGCCTCTCAAGCGTCTCTCATCTTCCATAACACACATTTCCCATTACACACACTATGTAGGCTGTGTTCTAAATAATGCTCTGTGCATTCGCTACTTAGGGTCAAACCTCCCAATGTTAGACACTTGCGACCTTTTATTGTTGTATTTTTACATAAGCTCTCTCTTATCTTTTCCCAATGGATAGTTCTATTGTTTTCTTTTATTGGTTTTAGTTTCGCTTTTTTTTTTCTTAAAGACAGGGTGTCTTGGTTAGGGTTTCTATTGCCGTGAAGAGACACCATGACCACGACAATGCTTATAAAGGAAAACGTGTCATTGGGCTGACAGTTTCAGGGACTTAGTCATTTTTCATCATGGCAGGACATGGTAGCACGCAGGCAGACATGGTCCTGGAGAAGGATCTGAGAATTCCGCATCTTGATTCACAGGTAGCAGGAAGTGAACCAAGTGCCAGACTGTGTAGCTTGAGCATAGGAGACCTCAAAGCCCACCCCCACAGTGACACACTCCTCCAAGAAGACCACACCTACTCAAACAAAGTCACACTTCCTATTAGTGCCACTTCCTATGGGGGGTATTTCATTTTGAGCCACCACACTGCATCTCTTTACATAGCCCTGGCGGTCCTGAAAGACACTGTGTAGACCAGGCTGGCCTTCCCCTCATATTTGAATAAGAATTACAGTTAAAGTATGAGTGACTATTGAGTTGATAAGAAGACAACTTAAAAATACTTAAGATAGATTCTACCTTTGGTGAGCTTATAGAATCATAATGATTCAGATACGTAAGAATTTTAGAAATTATTTAGTGACATTTTCACTGTGTAGTCACCCAGGAAAGTAAGCATTGTTCATGTCGTAGACACAGAATCGGGATCCTGATCAGTGGGAGACTCATTGCTCTGTGTCCACAGCATAGTTCTTGAATTTTCATGCTATTCATTCGTGAACTGTTGGTATCAATACCTGAGGCTCAAAGTAAGATTCCATTATTGGATTTTTTAATGTTTCGTTGATACTGAGCCAAACTTTGAAAAGCAAAGAATGGATAAGGTATCCCTCTCTTCACTTTATAAATGAAAAGTTCTGCATGTACATAGATTTTTTACTGAAGGTTATATATAAATTAAATCAAACAGATAATTTTTGAAAAGACCAGCATTGTCAACCCTACTCTTGAAAAGTAGTAATCCTGGTATTTTTTTGGCGCTAGCAAGGTCCTGTCTCTTGTTCTGTATCGTTCCCATTGTACCCTCATGTATCCCCCATGCCAGAAAGACAGCTCTAATGCATCAATACATCCCTCTCATTCCAGGAGCAGCAGCTCTGACTGGGGCTGTCTCCCACACAGTCTCCACAGCTGTGATTTGCTTTGAATTAACTGGTCAGATCGCTCACATCCTGCCTATGATGGTGGCCGTTATCTTGGCCAACATGGTGGCTCAGAGTCTGCAGCCTTCCCTCTATGACAGCATCATCCAGGTCAAGAAGCTCCCCTATTTGCCAGACCTTGGTTGGAACCAGCTCAGGTCAGGGCTCCTAGCTAGAATTGGCTTAGATATGATGGGATGTGGGAGGTCCTGAAGTGGAGAGCAAGGCTAGCGTTGGGAAGCCTGCTTTGTAAAATTACCGTCATGTTTCCACACACTTAATGGATACTGTGAGTGAAGGAATACATGGACGGAAGGGCCAGCATAGGCTAACCCAGGATGCTTTCTTCCTCCTCAGCAAGTTTACAGTCTTCGTGGAGGACATCATGGTACGTGATGTGAAGTTTGTTTCAGCTTCTTGCACATATGAGGAACTGAGAAACCTACTCCAAACCACCACAGTCAAGACTTTACCGTTGGTTGATTCTAAAGGTAAGTAGGAGGGAAGGGAGGGAGGGAGGGAGGGAGGGAGGGAGGGAGGGAGGTGACTATCTAGCTGGTGACCAGCACAGGGTTGATTGTACAGAGGCAGAGAACACCAGTGTCATCTTAGCTACCTTCTGACACTGATATAAAAACACCTAATATAAGCAGATTAAGGGAAGAAATGCTTATTCCAGCTTGTTGTTCCAGAGAGTTCAGTCCATTACTGTAGCGAGAGACTGGTGTGACCGAGCAGCGCGCATCAGGGCAGTCCCCGACGCCTAGGAAAAGAAGCTGGTGCTCAGTTGATTTTGTTCTCTTCCCAACCCTTCTATTTATCTGAAATACAAAGCCATGAGTTTGTGCTACCTACATCCAGAGTGGACCCATATTTAATCTCACCAGTCTTCCGGGTGACTCAGAATCCAGGCAGGAAGCTGACAGTAAGAGTCACCATTGCAGGAATGGACTTGCATTTAGAGCATGAATTCCAGCTACTAAGGGAAGCTCAGTGTATATTAATTGAAGAATATACTTTTCCTTTAGAATATGGGAAACACAGTCATGACCTAGACACACAAAAGCAGTTAACAATCCAAATAAGAAAACACAGGCAAAAAAAAAAAAAAAAAAAAAATTCAAATCACACCACTGTTAAAAAAAAAAAAAAAAGAAAGAAAGAAAGAAAGAAAAAGAAAAGAAAACACAGGCAGTTCTTACTATTCATGGCAGCCATGAATTTTAAAGTCTCCATGAGCCTGGGGTTAGTGAACAGTTTCAGAACAATCCTCCAAGAGGAAACACAGAGCAACAGAGCTAAGTCCCTTGACCCTGGCCACAGCACATTTGTCAACAGTCAGTACATAGCCACGTTGTCTGTGTGTTTCTGTTTTAGGATACCTTATTTACTGGACATGTTTTTCATTTACTAACCCTGAACTCATAGCCAGAAGCACTATAATCCTACTAAGTAAAACGCACCTAGTGTACTTTCTCGATAAGGCAAAGCACAGCCGCCCCTTCCCTTGCTTAGAATCAGTAGGCAGCACCTCAGCAGTGTCTGGGGGACATGTTGACAGTAGAGTCACCACACAAAGCACAAAGATTCCAAAAGCAATGAGGCATTAGATAGACCGCTAACAGAGCACTGTTTACTCAGGCCCAAGTGGTAAGGCTGAGTGCTGTTTGTTCAACCTCAGCTGGGAAGGTGAGATTCAGGCAGCTAGCTCCTCCCCCTGTTCAGAGCGTGTCTGTGAATCACAGCAAACACATCTCCAGCGTATGTCAACATCAGAGGCCCTCTCAGTAGCTTCTTCCTTGGAGTACAGATGCAGCCAGTGTGGTTCAAGGTTTTCACGGGGATGAGGAAGATGTAACGGTAAGGCATGCCTCAGTGCCCTTGACGCAGGGCTGTGGCAGTTAACTTACACAAACGCAAACGTTCATCCCCGCAGCCGGGTTCTATAAACACATGAAGAACCTCCTGGAAAGGGAGCATTTTGTTCATATCCTGTCGGGCCCTAGGCGCCTTAAGGGATGAAACCTCTTCCGGGGTAGAGTGACCGATGCCAGAGTTGCTTTTAGACTTATTTCAGAGTGTGTTTGTGTTTCAGACTGTTAAAGCTGCCTCTCCAGTTTCATTACCTCTGGATAAGGTTAATCAGCACACTTTAACAGTGAGCTTGCATATTTGCAAATACTATGTTAGGGCATCATACAGATAAGTACAGATTAGCACCAATTAGTGTACTGCCAACTGGGTCTGTACGTGCTAAATGAGTGAAATTAAAGGGATCAAGCGAGGCCAGGCTGGAGGAGTTTTAAGATGATTTTCTCTTTTTTTTTTGGGGGGGGGAGGTAAGGAAAGATAGGAACTGGACTAAGAAAGGGCTCCGAGCTCTTGCTCCTGACTTACTGTAGACACACAGGTGTGGAGCAGGCCTCAGGGAAGCATGCTTGTCCCTCAGATTCAATGATCCTGCTGGGCTCTGTGGAACGCTCGGAACTGCAGTCCCTCCTACAGCGCCACCTATGTGCAGAGCGAAGGTTGAGGGCTGCCCAGGATATGGCCCGCAAGTTATCGGAGCTGCCCTACGACGGCAAGGCAGGGCTGAGTGGGGAGTGCCACCCCGGGGGTCGGCCTGAGTCCTTCGCTTTTGTGGATGAGGATGAAGATGATGACCTCTCCAGGAAGACTGAGGTAACCGAGACAGAAGGGAAAGGGAGGCTGTCCGAAGGGAAAGCGTCATTAGGGGTCATTACTGATGCCTCTCCTGGGCTGGGCTGGGCTGAGCTGGGCTGGGCTGGGCTGGGCTGGGCTGGGCTGGGCTGGGCTGGGCTGGGCTGGGCTGGGCTGGGCTGGGCTGGGCTGGGCTGGGCTGGGCTGGGCTGGGGGCTGAGCTGGGCTGGGCTGGATGCTGGATTCTGGATGCTGGATGCTGGGCTGGATGCTGGATGCTGGGCTGGGCCGGGGCTGGCTTGGGGGCTGGGCTGGGCTGTGTGATAAGTGCTGGAAAGAAAGAAAGGGAAGGGGAAACCATGACAAGCTAGAAAGTGACAAACTGGGTCCAGTCTGTGTGCTGTTTTGAGAGGGGAGAAGGAAATGGCGGAGGGGTAACATTCCCCCAGGGCACCTGCTAGTAAAGGCAGAGAGGCATCACGCGGCCTCTTTTCTGAGAATATTTTACTTTATCTTCTTTTATTGGCTTCCGCAGCCTCCTCCTCCAGCGCCTCCGTTCCTTGCCACTCCTTCACACCCGGAAGAACCTAATGGGCCACTGGCCAGCCCCAAACCGCCACCTGAAGCCCCAGACACCGCCGCAGGTAAATACCTCACCGCATGCCTAGGGAGTCAAGCTTGGACTCACCTTTACCGAAAGCTACTCTTGTGAGATGTGAGGCCAGGTGATTTTGAGAGCCCACTCCAGTTGCTAAATCCCATGACGCTGTCGTGGGACAGAGGTAGCAAGGAGGGATCCACTGAGGTTCAGCAGAGCGGAAGCACAGTTCTTCTTCGGTGACACAGTGGGGGGGCACGTGGCCACCCCCACCCTCCACCTTCTCACCCCTCTCAGGTCAAAGGTCATCCACCTTGCGGTGGATGCTATGCTGCTTGCTGGGCAGAGCCCGCCCTACAAAGAAGAAAATGGCCCAGGTAAGAGAAGACGTGTCTGGGGGAAGAAGGGGCTCGTCTGTGAGGGGTGGGAAACCGAGGCCCTCAGAAGGGCAGGGGTCCCACCAAGGGTGACGGTTTGAAAAGCTGGCTTCTCGGGCTGGACCCGCCCAGGAAGACACGGTTTCTGCTACACTGGAAACTGTACCGAGACTGAGAGGAAAGGGTAAAGAGGCTGTCCCTCTGTCTGTCTCCCCCTAGGATTCGGTGGACTTAGTGGATAACATGTCCCCTGGAGAGGTAAGGGAATCCACAGCCTGGGATGGGTTGTTTCATCCACAGAAGGTACTGCTTTTCTTGCAGTCGTTGTTTTGCTTTTGAAATAGCTGCTAACTATGCAGTTCCTGGCTGGCCTGGAACTCACAGATATCCGTCTGCCTCTGCCTCCCAAGTGCGAGGGTTAAAGGTGTGCGCCGCCATTTCTTATTGTTCCAAGAAGACTGAAAAGCAGGCAGGACGTGAATATGTCCCCGTGGATGCCTGTTAGAAATAAAGTGCATCTAGGCACAAAAGGAGGCTGATCATATACTTCTAGTGTTTATCTTTCCCAAAACAGACATCGATGAGACATTTCTGAGGAGTGAAGTCCAATAAAAATAAAAACCCTGTATGTTTTGAGAGATGACAACCTCGACAATATCAAGATGTTGGTATTGACAAAAGCCATTTTGAGTCAATACAGAAATCAGAGAAAGCATTCGATGTGAGAAGAATTTACCTGCTGTACCGGCTGTGGTTTAAGTCTCACATAGTGGGAGCTCTTGTTTCTATCTAGTGTTGAACTTTTCATAAGACCCAGCAGCAACATCTTCTCCCCTTGGACAGAAGCTGGAGATGTGTTATGTGGCCAGCACACACATACGAGTCTACCAGTTGCTGCCTTTGGAGCCTCTGGCAGACTCAGCACTGCGTGTCCCTACTTCTTCATCTGCAAAATGCAGACGAAGGTAGACTTGTTAGAAGGATTCTGTGAGCTAAGACACGGACAGCAATTAGAATTATGCCTAGTACAGACGAAGTGCTTGGCAAATGTTCTCTGACAATGTAGCTGCTATTGTTATTGGGAAATGGGTGTGGGGAAGCTGAGGAGGAAGGGTCAAGGAAACGGGTCCTATCTAAGTCCCCCCCCCCCTCTCTCTCTCTCTCTCTCTCTATATATATATATATATATATATTATGTGTGTGTGTGCATGTTGTGTGTGTGTGTATGTGTGTGTGTGTGTATATATATACATACATATATATATATATATATATATATATATATATATATATTATACTATATACTAAGAGCCAGTCAGGCTCCATGTAAACCTGTAGTTAGGACCATAGGAATTTAGAGTTTGCGTAGCTGTGTCCAGAAATTTCAAGAGAACGTGACGCATGGAAGGAGCCTCAGTGTGCACTCAGTACTCGATCCTAGGACAAGGAGCTCACTAGCCTTTGCTGGTACTCTCTGAAGGTTAGCGTGCTGATTTGGACAAACAGAGTTGAAGTGTGACATCACTCAGTAGGACCAAGGAACATCTTGGATTAATTTATGAGTCCTGGGAAAGAGTGACTTGTCTGGCATCTTGGGTTGTACATGTGTACATCAAGAGGGGTAGCTGGCTTTGAGCCTTAATGATTTGGTTAATAGACTGAAAAACAAAAACGAGCAAAACATGGACAGTCCAAGTCAACTAAATGCCAGTCGATGCAGGGAATCTACTCAGATTCAACAAATACTCACTCTGCTTCCCACATAAGTGACAGCTTCCTCTCCCCACCGATGAGTGCCTATCCAATGGGCAGAGCACAGGCAAGAGCCAACATAAGACTGAGTATAAACAACGCCATTTCTGAAAAGCAAAGGCTCACAGAGTATCAAGGCATGATGGGAATTACTCGATGGACAAGAACACATCTGATTGGGAGTGCCAATCCGCCACGTAGTGAATGGTGGAATTAAATGTTTGCAGACCAGAAGGACACAGAGGGCTGTAAGAAGGGTCCTTATGCCAGGCACCCGAGGGTGAAGTGGGCAGGTAATGGAGAAGGGAGCTGTGACTGCCTGAGAAGCGAAGGTGCTACCTATTGATCAGAATGTCTGTGGTGGCTGCTATGGGACAAAGCCGCGCTCCTGACGGTGAAGGGGTCTCTGTGTTACTCTGCCGACAGATTGAGGCCTGGGAGCAGGAGCAGCTGAGCCAGCCTGTGTGCTTTGATTGCTGCTGTATCGACCAGTCTCCGTTCCAGCTGGTGGAGCAGACGACCCTGCACAAGGCAAGCCCTGGCTGACCGCTCAGGGCTTTGGGGAGGGGAGGGGGGGCAGGAGTGGGGACACGCTGACCTATGCTTTCCTCATCAGACCCACACTCTCTTCTCGCTTCTCGGCCTCCACCTTGCCTATGTGACCAGCATGGGGAAGCTCAGAGGTGTCCTGGCACTAGAGGAGGTAAGGGTGAATAGGCCCCACTGGACCAGAGAGGCGGGGAGGCGCGGACCCAGGACTAGGGGACATGGGTGGGGACACGTAGAGCAGATGTGGCTCCAGAAGGGAGAGGCTGCAAGGCGTGCGGTGGTCAGAGTTCTCCAGCTCAGAAGGGGCCTGTGTGGTTTTCTCCCAGTGGCCTGGTTTGGGTGAGCCCTGGGGAGGGATGCGGGGGACATGTCAGAGCTATGACGCAATCCCTGGAAGGAAGGGGCTCCTGGAGGTGCCGGAGCAGCGTAGGGGATGTGCAGGACTAGCTCTGCCTGTGTTGCCTGTCCCCGTGATTGTCCCCCATCAGTCTCTGCCTCTGTCCTTCCCCACTGTTAACATTTCTGTCTCCTCCCCTTGGTCTGTTCTCACCATGTCTCTCTCTTTACCATCTTCCTTCTTTCCCCCATTGTCTGTCTGTCTCTTTATCTCTCCTCTTCCTCCCCAGCTACAGAAAGCTATTGAGGGCCACACCAAATCTGGGGTGCAGCTCCGCCCCCCACTTGCCAGCTTCCGGAACACAACTTCAACTCGGAAGAGTCCTGGGGGCCCACCCCCTCCTGCGGAGGGCTGGAGCCTGCCCGAGGGTGGAGACGGAGCTCCCGGGACGGACGTCATCGTTCCCAACATGCCAGAGGCTCCTGTACCACCGCCTTCTCCAGAGGTCCCTCGTTGTATGGCCCCAGCCAGAGTGGAAGGTGAGCTGGAGGAGCTGGAGATGGCGGGAAGCCAAGGGCCTGAGGAGGGCCTGGCTGACATTTTGCGTGGCCCCAGCCTACGTTCCACTGATGAGGAGGATGAGGATGAGCTGATCCTGTGAAAAAAAAAAACACCCCAAAGCTTTCTCCAGAGAAACCGTGGGGCCCATGCCAGAGAGTGGACTCGTGTGACGGGGGCGCCTTGAAGTTGGGGAGGTCCCCACTCCATCTCGTTCCTACTCTCGCTGTGAAAGGTGATGGTCGGAAAGAGAACTTGACCTTGAGAAGGGAAGAATTTGAGTCCATGAGACCCCTTCCCCGTTCCTGTGCTTTGGAAGAGCCCTGTGTTTTCCTGCTCTGCAGGTTCAGTCCCCATCAGTGTTTAGCCTCCCACAGCTCCCAGTGTTGCCCGGTCACCGTCCTGGCCCAGACTGATTGACTCTGCAAGCGCCTCCCTGGAAGGGATGTGGGGCCCGGCATAGCCCTGCGCATGGACCACCTAACAGTGTGCCTCCAAGCCTACCAGCCTGACTGGCCGTCTACCTGTTTGCTCCCCACAGTCTGTTTCCAGACCCAGCCGTTACTGCCACCGCCTCTTCCCAGACCAGGCCCATTTTCAGGGCTGAAAGAGCCAACCCTGATGTCGTTCCCTGAAAAAGAGGCTGACAGAGGCCCTGTGTGCAGAGGAAGGTGTCCCGGCCCAGTGTGTGTGTCTGACCCCAGCAACAGAAAGCTCCCCTGCGCCACAGGCTAGCTTAGTCCCAGGCTATCCCTAGATCATGCATGGTCCCTCTTGCTCACCGCAATGGTGGGCCAGCCTGCCGACAGCCACCTCTGCCTTGGAGCCGCTCTTACTGGACCCACTCCTCCCCAAGTACCAGTGAGACTCTCAGCTGCAGTGGCTCCTGCAGATTCCAGTCCTTTATAAGCTCCTGGCATAGACTGGAAGCGGGGGCACCCTTGGGGTGGCAAGCGTTAGTTTGCCTTAGACCTTAGAGGACTGCCGTCTTTTTCCTTACAAACCGCCCAGGGGCTTGGTAGTTGTACCACAGCAGTAGCTTGCTTCACCTAGAAAGAGATGCCACGCGTTCTGAGCGCCCAGACACCCGGCTCCATCCATGGGCGGCTCCATCCATGGGCTTTTCCTTCCCGCACCCACCGTAAGCCTTTAGTTCTGCACTCGGAGCCCTCAGATGCTCTCCGTCTGCCCCTCCCCCTCGCCCAGGTCTCCTCTACCCCACCCCCCAAATAAGACACTCATAGTCAGAGGATGCCACCACATTCTGTTTAGTGTCATTGAACACAGCCTCTGGCCTTCTCCAACATGGGTTCCTTCCAGCTCCCCAGGCCAAGGAAGAGGCTGAGGCCTAGGAAGGAGAAATGGGGGGCATCCAAACCCGTGCCCATGTGTACATAATCCATAATACTTATTATATGTGTATATATATATTTATATAGAATTCTCTCTGCAATATATGTCATAGAGTCCTTCCTGGGCCTGGGGTGATTTTCACATTAAGAAAACATGCTAAGACTGACGGTAAAAACGGGTATATGTCTCAGACCTGGAAGACAGAATGTGGAATATAAAGGGGTAAGAACTCATCCTTCAAGATTTCCCCCCTCAACACAGAAAAAGAAGGGAGGTCTGTGAACTGGGGAGAGCGACAGAAGGGAAGAGTGGACGGTTTGGATTTTCATTTAATAAAGTCGATTGAAAACGAAAGTGTAACCCCCCCCCCTTGAAAAAAATCATTCAGCAAGAGCAGTTTCATTCACAAGAATAAAAAAATAAATAAAAATAAAACAGAACAGCCCTGTTCCCCAGCTGCTGTAAAACGTGCTGCACAGCCTTTAACCCCAAAAGAAAAGCAACCCTTCCCACCCACCCCTACAGCCTCTTCCTGCACATGCCCCACCCCTCCCCTTAAAGTAGGCTAGAAGCAAACCCCCATGCACCCTGCCCCAGCACCAGAGAGGTGGCCCCTCCCTCCAAAGAGTTCAGATGGTCCTGGGCCTTGCTCCTTGAGTCGTCTTCTCTCTTCCGAGTGGGGTGGGCCTCACCTGCCTGGGTGGCAGTATGCCAGCAGCCTGGGGAAACAAGCCCCTGCTCAGGAGCAAACACTGCTAGCTAGGTTCCTTCGGGGCTTTTGGAGTCTTTCACTGGGGACCATTTGGCTTCCTTGAGGGATGGGAGGAGGAGAGAGCTGCTTTAGTGTAGTTTCCCTAACTCTCCAGGGCCCTGAGCAAGTGGGAATCAAGGTGAAGAACCCTGCTCACTGGACTCAGGTCCAGCCTCACCTGGGGAAGAATGCTGGGGGGGGGTTGACGGGGGGGGGGACCGCACTGACATGACACAGGTGTGTTGATGAGTAGGATAAACAAGGTAGAGAGACCCTGGGGGCAGGTTAGCTTGATCATGCAAATTCCCAGGGGGCTAGGACAGGAGACAGGGGTCAGGGACAGATGCCCGGGTCGGCAGGCTAGCCCTTCCTAGTCCTAGAAATGAGGTCCTGATAGGCTAAACCACAACACACCAGCAAGCACGAGGTATCTTCTCCCGTTCAGGCAGCCATAGATGAGCCAAGTGACTCGCTCACCTACCTTGGCTGTCCAGGTCTGCTCCCATGTCTCCTGTGTTAACAGACCCCAGGCTCCCATGCTCCCCATCCCCTGGAGGGCGTGGGACACCTACTCTGCTTACACTTCAGTGTATGAGTAATTCAGAACCTCTGACGGTACAAAGCCTTGGAACTGGAGCCATGGACGGACAGGAGGACAAAGAGCAGGGTGACAAGCTTGAGCATCTCCTATCGAAACTCCACTTACGGCGAGGGCCACACTGAGGCTCCAGCACCCTCATAGCGATACTGCACTGACCACTGGTCCCCTCTCCCGTCCCCACGGTCCCCTCGGAACGGTGGGAGGGTAGGAGGGCAAGCTTACGCCTCACCACAACCAGTCCTGTAAGGGACAATGGATGGAGGAGGGAGGAGCCCTGGAAACAGCTCACAGAAAAGCAGGAACAGCCGGTGACCGCCCTGGCCCTCAGCCACCAGCCCAGCCAGGGCAGTGACAGCACCAGACTCCCCACTCCACTCTGCTCAACCCTGAGTCCCCAAGAAGTTATAAAAATGTAGAAAAGGCAAAGAGAAAAGTGTAAACAGCTCCAGAGGGCAGGGAAGGTAGAGGGAGGCCCAGCCCTCACTGTGGGAGAGACACTGCATCCTAAGTCAACAATCTGAGACTGGTACCCGCTCACCCTCCTTGGGTCTGGGCTCCAAATGGAAGAAGGCAGAAAGGAAAGCCAGAACCGGAGTAGCCAGCCCCATTGGGCCCTCTCCCTAAGGTCCTCCTTCCAGCCACAGGACATTCAAGTGGCTGTGTTTATTCTTTGTCTCATCGGTGACCCCCTTGTCTCTGAGTAGGCTTTGGGATAAAAAGCATACCGTGACCCCTGTCAATCCCGGCTGCCACGTCCTTCTTGTCATCGGCAAAGATTGCCTGAATCGGGCACACTGTCTGTGCTAGCCACAGAAGGGCCGTTCAGGCCACTCTGCTGTCCCTGCCAAGCCATATCCAACAGCCCCCGAGGCCTGTTTCCCACAGAGGGGATGCACTGATGCCATGGCCAGAGAACACAGAATCAGGAAAGCAGGAGTGAAATGGACAAAGGAGGCATTCAGACAGCACGGCCAAGCCTCCTGGAAGACAAAGTCAGGGGTATAAGGACCAAGATTCGGTGTTCAGCACGACGCACCAGGGCATGGACCCAAGCCATAGCTGCCGCCATCTCCCACCACCACGCCAGGTTCACAGCCACCTAATTGTCTGGGTCTCAGTTCCTGGAAGTTTTCTGAAGTACACCCCCTGCTGGTACTTCAATTTCCAGGGCTGCTAACGGGCTGGTTTCCTGCTGTCTCCTGCCCGGGGTTTCAACTGTGCCGCTGGAGCTTGGGAGGGTATGGGTTGCAGCCATGCCCCCTCAGGTCAGTGGGTGGGAAGAAGCTAGTTGTTGGCATCCCCCTCCTCCTCATCAAAGGACTGCACTCCCGAGGACGTGACATCAGACACCTTCCGGCTGAGAGCAGTGGACATCTCTGGGTCTTCTCGTGGGGAAAGCGACTCCAGGTCCCGGCATCCTGCATCTTCCTCCTCCTCAGGGGCCAGTGGTCTCTTCTCTTCCTCTACAGAGCCCCTGGCCAGGTCCACCCCACCAACCTCTGGTGCCCAGTCAGTGTCCACCCCCAACAAAGGCGGAGGCTCGTGAGCAGAGTATCCTGAAGCAGGGTGGGAAGGCCCCATGTCATGCAGGCTGGGCTGTGAGTCATCGAATGCAGGGCCAAGATAGGATCCCGTAGCTGGAGATGCGATGAGGGACTGATCACTCGCTTCCCAGGCATCTGACGTCCCCAGGCAGTACATGCCCTGGGACACATAGGAGTGAGGCCATCCATCCATGGGGGCTTGAGCTAGCGCGTCTGCAAAGAGAAGACGCAGGGTTGGAGGAGCCACAGAATACCACAGGCAGGGAGGAGAGCTCACAGAACTGGCACGTGGTTACGACACAGGCATGGGGCGCCTGGAGAAGCTGGGACCAACCGGGAAAGGTCAGAACGGAAGAGGGTAGAGGGAGCCTAAATTGCTGGGAAGCCTCTTAGGCTTCAGGGGCTGGATGGACTCTGGGACCGTCTCTCACCCTGACTCTCCATCAGCTCCTGGTAGTTGTCACTGTAGTTGCAGTCTAGTGGCTCCTGGGTAGAATTGACACTCATGTCCTCGCCATCCATGGAAGACCAGGCCATAAGGGTAGCCTCAGAAATAGCAAACTGTTCCATGACACCTATGAGAAGAAATGAAATTACCGTTAAGAGCCCTCAAGTAACCCTTAGACCCTTAGAGGTTCAGTGGGAGTAAAATATAAACCGTGTATCGTCTCATTTAAGAGAACTAAACGGAAACATTGAGATTAGTTTTAATAGCAAATCTCGTTTAAGTCAACGTATGTATGACTCCCTTTCAATATACAATCCACGTAGGCATAATTAATGAGGTATTTTATATTCCTCATATGCAGTCTTTGAAATTCAAGTTTTCAATACCGACATGGAGCCAGTGGCTACTCTATTACTATGAAACAAGGAAAGACCATGGGAGAATTTTCCAGAAGGTCACACTTAGGATTCCTAGGGGGAAAAGATGGGCTTGTCCGGAGATTAAAGTTAAGACATTCCAGAAGTTTGTCTTTGGGGGTTGTAGCGTTTGAACCTGGAGTTAGAGAGATGGCTTGGTAGCAACTCACAACAGCCTGTAACTCAAGCTTCAGGGGCTCCTACATCCTTGGCCTCCAAGGTCCCTTGCATACATGTGGGCTAAACGTATGCAGGCAAAAACATGCGAACATAAATAAAATAATAAATACATCTTTTTAAAGAAATAATTTGAACCTAGTTTCAGATGGTCTAGGACAGAGGAATCTAGGCAGTGGGTTCCGAGATCAATGAAGGATTCCCAAGAGACTAAACGAAGGGAGGACAGGATAGTATGGATGGGAACATTGCGGGTCCCTAGTCTAGTCAGAGCCGTGAACAGGCTGAGCGTCGCTATTCCTTGCCCTCCCTCTCTGCCCTCCACCTGTCACCCAGCCCCTCAGACTTCCTCCAGCACCCACCGCCTGTACCAACAAAATAAAAAGCTCTTTTGTTCAGACCTACCCCTCTTCTTGGGTGTCTTCCTGGAACGGGGTTAGTTCACCTAGTATGTACACCACATACTTGTCATCAGACCTGTACCACCAGAACTAAACCATTCCCCTTAAACATCCACTAGTTGTCACAGCCGTGAGTCCAGGAAGTCAATTCGTGAAATCAAATGTTGACGAGCATGGCCAGGAGAAATTCCGGAGGCCTCTTTCATTTTTAGAAACAAATATAAGCAGAGTCATCTGAAATTCAAGGCCCCTGTGTTTTCCTGTGTACTGAGAGAGGCCAGGGTAGAGTACCATACTAGAGGAAAGAAGCCATCTGAGACACATGGCTTCACATCTTCTAAGGCTACAGTAAAATTATATTGGAGAGTACTTATCAGAATTGACCCCTCCCTAGCCCACCCCACTCGCCCATAAACAAACCCTTGAAATCAAGGCTGTTAGAAAATCTGAGCATTCAGGGAAACCACTTTGCCATCAGGGAGCAGATTGGAGAATCAGCCTCTAACCATCCAAAACAAAAACGAAACGCACCATTTGAAGGCTTGGGATGCAAGTACCTGCTAGAAAACGAGCTTCCTTCTCGCCGTCGCTGAGGTCAGAGTAAGCATCCGTATCCCTGCGCACAGCCTCGTGGCTGTGCTGTGGCTGAATTGCTGGGGCCTTCCCCCAGCCCTGCCACTCAATCATGTGGGCCACCCGCCCTTGCCCCATGGCTGTGGGCTTCGTCACATGGTCCTTCATGCTTCTTGAGATCCCTATGGAGCCAGACAATACCCACATCCTTCAGGATATCACACAGTATTCATAGCAGATCCTCCCATCATCCCCACCCAGGTTCCATGGGATCCCATCCACCCAAGAAAAGTATCCCCTGATACCCTGTTGTGAGGGTGAACTCTGAAGCACTTTGAGGATCAGGGTCACAAGGAAGACCCTGCCAATATCCCCATTTCCGGGTCTGGTGCCTCACCTGAGAATGATGACTTGGCCAGGGCCCCGATGCCATAGGCATTAGAGTTTCGCTTAAGCTTCGGAAGGATGGAAGTGGTGTCCTCCATGGACAGCTAGGACAAGGAAGGTAAGAGGGTGGGCAGAGGGATAAGATGACATGGGTCCCTTACATGCAGAATAGAGTCTTTGGCTCCCAGGAAGGTGGGTACCCAAGGGAGCAAGTGACAAAGACAAGCAAGGGAGTATACACCTCGCACCCCTGAAAACGGGGAGGTCAGGAGAACGGGAGGGCCCGTGCAGCCTGTTACAGAGGGTCCCAGTGAACATAATAAAAGAAGGGTCAGGGTGGATTGAGGAGGGCTAGAGGTGGCCACACTCACATTGATGCCGTCCCAGGAGAAATCTGTTCGTGTTTGCTGTAGGAGAGAGCACAGGAATGGTATCTGGGCACCTCTAGAAAGGCAACCCTGCCTTCCTCTGAGGGACTCCCAGATATGGACAGAGAGAGGGGTGAGACAGATCTGTGTGGAGCCGTGGGGGGTGTGTGTCCGGGAAGCAGGAAGACGAGGTCTGGTTCAGTCTACAGCAGTGTTTGGGATGTTGCTGTAGAATTTATGAAGGGGTTTGCCCCTTGGGGCTTTACGGGATGATGAGGAGGGTCAAGCCACTGGAAACTTAGGTGAGGCTGTCCCTGGAGCACCCAGCCTTACCTCGGTAGAGGGCCGATGGAGGCTGCTGCCATGCAGGGAGCTGGTGCTGTCCATATTGAGCTGGTCCACATCCTTGAGGCCTTTCCAGTCCACTGCAATCACCTCGTTCCCTGAAGCAGCCAGAAGGTTAGTTGCTCACCCTCTTCCCCTGGATCTCTGCTTGCTCCCCCCTTATAAAAGGCAGAGGCCACACCCTAGGGTCCAGCCCTTCCACCCCAGCCCCCCAGTGTCACCCCCCAACCTTCTGACCACCCATTTCCTTCTATGTCTTTACCATCCTCACATTTCTGGTAAGAAATAATAAGTGAAGCAAAACACTTATTTTCAGCTCAATGGGACACAACACACTTAGGGGAAATGCTTCCTGGCCCTATCTAGTGTTGTTTACACAGAGAGGGAGGGGGCAGAGATTGGGTTGCATCGCTAAAAACCATTTTCCATTCTGTGCCGAGGCATCCTTGAGATGTCTTTATTGGATCCAGACTTCTCACCAATTAAGTGCCCTACAAACAAGGGCACAGCTTTCTAGGGGAAGCTTACTCTACTGTGCAGCTGGCTTTGATATTTGAGGGATGAGAGGGATGTGACTCCCCCCCTTAGGTCTTCCCAGTAGTCAGGGGACCTGGTTGACAGGAAAGGGTATGGCGGTGGCCACAGAGGCAGGTGGCCCGTGAGAACTTGAGACTGTTTCCGCTAGAGCCAGAGAAGTCTCAGATGAGTTGGAGACTTTGAGCCCAATTCCCTCAAGGGACAGGGGATGGACTCAAGAGCAGAGAGAGATGGGAACAAGAAACTAGAGGACTTTGTAGTTTTGCAGCGAAGGAACAGAAACTCAAGGGGAGAGGACAGAGACAATGGAGAGGGGGTGACCAGGACACCCACCGAGAACTGGTAGAAACCCAGGAACCAAGGGAGACTCCTGACCCGAGTAAGTGCAGGGTACCCTCTAGAAGTCCTGGGGAAGGATTTCTTGAGTATTTACAGAGAGACTCAGCCAGCGCCATCTGCCCTAAAGCCATTGCATACATGAACTTTTGCCTTTTGGGTTTAGGATTTTAAGTCCCTTCTCTGGAAGAAGTGTATTGGCTGGGTCTTGGGCACGAAGAGGCATTCCACATGCAGCAAGAGAACTAACTGGTTAAGAAGGTTAAGGGGATGGAGGTCCCAGGAACTGAGAGGTAGATAGGGCTCTCCATGTACCCCAAGTTGTTGTGCTCTGTTGGGATCTTGGGATAATGAGGCACATGAGACCAAGACCTGTGGCTAGGTCAGAGAGGAAAGTCGGCTGGACCTAGCGGTGATGGAGAAGGCAGGGAAAGCTCTCTGAGAGCAAGGGGAAGGAGGGAGGTGGCCTTTGAGGAAGAGGGGGAGCTGAGTCAGAGCCCTGGGCTGGGGGAGGGGGGCAGGGAGATGGAGGGAAGGAGTCCTGGGAAGGAGGTGAACGCAGAGGAGGGTCTCCATGGAAATGAACTGGGTTTCAGAAACCAGGCTTCTGGAGAGTGAGTTTGTTTGTAATAATAACACGAATTATTCTCTCAGCCTGAGGTCACTAGGGCGTGTAGGCGGGAGAAATTGGGAGTTAGGAAGGGGAAAATTGGGGGGTTTGGGAGAGGACCGACCGTATTAACGTGTTCAGCCCGAAAGTGGAATGGATGCGTGGGGGTGGGGGTAAGGGGGCGGTTGCAAGGCCGAGGCTGGAGGAAGAGGACCGTTAAGGAAGCGCCTTTCTTCCCTCCCCCTGTCAAAGGTAAATAAAGAGCCGGCCCTGCCCAGCCTGTCCCTGCTGACAGGTGCAGGCGGCCGGGGGCTCCCAGGGGACCCCACCCTTCTGGGAAGCGGACTCCCATCCCCTCTCGGGGCGGTAAACCTCCACCTCCTCCCCGAGTCCCCGGCTCTTCCCAAGAACCCCGGCCCAAGCCCCTCATTCCCTCCGGGCGTGGAACCCGTTCCCTCCCGGTGCACACGCTCTTCCCGCCCCCGCCCCAGAGGGAAAATGCACGTGAACAAAGCAAATCGGGGGAGGCAGGAGCGACGGGAAAAGGCTACCAAGAGGGGAATGGTTGGGGGCAACACACACAAGCCATATGGAGGGGAAGGTGGAGGCTGAGGATGGGAGGGGGCGCGCGGAGAAAAGTCGGGGCTCAGGCTGGGAAGCAGGTTGTGAGAAGAGGGTCTGCGCCAGGAAGAGGGGCGCCGGGAGGGAGGCTCTGTCCACCGCGGAGTAGGCGCGGATGGCCTGGGGATGGAGGGATGGGGCGACCGCGAGAAGTGCCTAGCGGCGGAGCAACGAAGGGAGCTGGCGGAGAGGCAGTCAGGGGAGGACCGCGCCTGCGGCAGGGCGATGGAGAGGAGGAAGGCAGCCAGCCGAGAGGGATGGAAACCCTGGAGGCGCGAGGGCCAGAGGGATGGAGGGGCCGCAGCGGATGGAGGGAAAGTGGAGGCGTGAAGGCGGGCGCGAGGCAGGGCCGGGCGAGCCCGGAGCGAGGTCCCCAGGGGCGAGGACGGGGACGGGGACGGGGATGGGGGAGGGGGCCGGAGCACAGCCCCCGGGGCGAGCTGGCCCCTGACCCGCGCCCGGGGCCGCCGTACCCACCCACAGTCCGCGAGCCGATGCAGCCCATGGCTCCGGGGGCCGCCGGGGCCCGGCCCTCACCGAGTCTGGGCGCGCGCCGGGGGGAGCACCGGGAGCCGCGCCGCCGCCCCAGCCGCTCTGCAGCGCCGCGGCTGTCTCCGCTCGGCTCCGCTCCCCCCTCCCCTCTCCATCCCTCCCTCCCTCCCCACGGCAGCCTCCGCCGCCGCCGCCGCCGCCGCCGCCTGGCTCCCCCGCCCCGCTCCGCTCCCCGGCGCCGCGCTCCGCTCTCGGCGGCCGGGGAGGGGGCTGCTCCGCGATTGGCTGCGCGCAGCGCCTCCCCGCCCTGGCCCCCGGCCGGCCGCCGCGCTCCCGGCGCCCCTCGCCGCGGGCGTCCCCGTGCCTCTGCCCGCCCTCTGCCCTTCGCGGCCCCCGCCCCCGGGCTCCTCGTCCATCCCTGCTGTGTGCTCCCTGGAGATGATGCAGATGCAGAGTGCATAATGCAACCGGTTTGGGTCTCCGGAGCCGGGTCAGGGACCCAGGGCCCCCCCCCAGGATCTCGGCCTGATGGACTTTGAGGGCTGTGGGGGTGAGAAGGGGGAGAGAGAGAGAATGGGGCGGAAACGAGAGGACACCCTGCTGAATGAATAGCCACGGGTACCAAATTCCGCAAACACGCTTGTTTTCTTCCTGCGGCTGCTTCTAGGGCGCACGGATCAGGATTGGATGCTGTTCTGGTTGCCCTGCGTTTCACGTGCGTTGCTTTGCCCACCCCAAACAGTCTTTTGCCAGTGCTTGTTGTGAGACGCTTCGCTGTCCTTTAGCAGCTCTGGGATGGGTGTGGGGCCGGCCGGGGCAGGTAATGTAGCCCTAGGCCTGGGTGGAGATAGAAGGAGACCGGGGACAAGTGGAAACATCAAGACCCGAGACCGGCCACAAGACATGATTTTAATTCAGATTTAACTTTTCTTGAGCCTTAACTGGATGTCCTGAAGCAGCAAAGGGAGAATACTGCCCCCTGCTGAGAAGGATCAGCACTTACACCTCCGGCCCTGTGGGGCACTGTTATCCATCCTCGCAACTGCCTTGCAGAGTCCAGAAGACACACTAGAAAAGGACAAGGAGAATACTTAGGCCTTAACCGCAAACTGTGAGTGAGCAGGTCTGGGTAGCGCCATTGAAGAGAAGCAAACACTAACTCAGGGCACAAATCGGTAGGTTCTGTGTCCTCCTTCCTGGGTCCAGGACAGGGAGAGGACGATGGGGCAGGTGCCTTTGAGGGTTTGTAGAAGAAAGGACAAGTCTTACCGATGTAAGTTTGTGACATTTAGATGATTATTGAGGAGATACAGCCAGTGAAATCCCAGATGAACATGTGGGAGAGGATACTTTTGTTCATTACAAACCGCGGCGTTTATAAGTCTGTTTGGAGGCTGGGAAGGCTGAGAGCCTGCTTTTGCAGCTGCTTCAAGTGTGGTAAGGGCCTTCATGCACTGTGGCCCTCAGAGGGCATCATATGGTGAGGCAGGATGGATATGTTAGTGTCGGCCTCTTCCTCATAAACCCACTAGTGCCGACCTCTGTGACCTCACCTAATCCTTATTACTGCTCTAAGACCCAGTCTCCAAACACCACTAGCATATGAATTCGGGGAGTAAGTCCAAGGCATGGATTTGAAGGGCCACTTGTAAACTCTGTCAGGAAGTTACACTAACTGTAGACCTGGAAGGTGAACTTTGAACAGAGGAACACGGAGGCTTGGTTCTGGCCAGCTGCCTTCTGACCTCTGCAAAGACTGTGACTCCTCGCCACTTAGGGGCATTCTCTCCCATTCTCCGGATCTTTTGAGCCAGGACTTAAATGTTCCAGTTCTCATAACCGAAACGAGCTTCCCGGAAGGCAGTTTGACAGTACTGATCCTATATATAAAAATATTTTAAATTGCCTCTGCTTTTACAGATACATACGTTCACACAAGCTAGTGAAAAGACTTGCTTAGACTATGCGAGGCCCTGGGTTCAGCTCCTGAGGACACACCTCGAGCTAATTTGCTGTCTTTTTCTGTGATAAACACAGCAGCTGGCAGTGGCTTTCATCTTGCAGCTTCGTCTTGCATGATCCAGGGAAGTCAGGACAGTGGCTCAAGTCAGGAGCATCCAGACAGGAGCTGAAGCAGAAGCCATGGAAGAATGCTGCTCACTTGCTTGCTCCCATGACTTGCTCAGCATGCTTTCCTAAATAACCCAGGGCCATCTACCTGGCCAGAGGCGGCACTGCCCACAGTGGGCTGAGGACCTGAGACTCACCTACAGGCCAATCTGAGGAACACATCTTCTCAATTGAGGCTCCCTCTTCCCAGATGACTCTAGCTTGTACCAAGTTGACAAAAAAAAAAAAAAAAAAAAAATCTAGCACATACACACACACACACACACACACACACAATACACACACTCCTTAAATCCTTAACGGGTGTAATGCTCTTGTCATAAATTATTATGCAATTATTTTTTATTCAAATATTCTGAGGAAATAAAAATACAATAAATGGAACCTGCATCTCTTACAGCGCAACTTACATTATGCCTGAGGCTAACTAGGTAAATTGTGGCACGGGCCTGTAGTAGAAGTAATATGGTTCTTAATAATGTTTCATAACTACATTAGTCAGCGTGGATAAGCATTCATAGCAGATTTTTAATACGATTAAAAAGCAGGCTGTGATGTAAAATTATAGTTTTTTGTTTACAATACATACATATCCTCCCTGCCTTCCTGATATCAGTCTTTCTGTCCAAAAAAAAAAAAAAAAAAAAAAAAAAAAAGTTGATGGCATTTCCTGAGGAATGCTCATGTTGACACAACTCCAACCTAACTAAAGATTACAGTTTGACCCTCAACAAAACCCTTACATTATTTCCAAAGTCTTCAGATACAAGCATCTGGCAGGATGCCCCGACGTGGCACTTCCTAACTGGCTCCCTTTGCAACACAATCCCAAGGTGAAACCATGCCTTCCTTTCTGGTTACTACTGTATGCCCATGTCCCTTTGGGGCAGCTCTTGGACAGATGGACACAAACAATCAAGTGCAGGGGCAATACTGTGTATTATGGGTCCATGGATAGAATAATAATAATAATAAATCCATAAACTCGTGTCGGAGGAGAGTAGCTGGTAACTGAAATTCTTCTTGAGCAGCACACGTGGGCTGTCAGCCTCAATAGTGTTACGGGTGGTGTGTACAGGCAAAACCACAGAAGCTTATATCACAAAACAGTAGTCACTGGAGAGTTACTTACCTTTTTCCAGGTTATTCTTTATATTCGCCACTCCTCTGGAATTATTTGAAAACTATATATTTAAAATCGCATCTGCTTTTACACTTGCTATTAATGATTTTTACTGAGAAGCAATGAGATCAGGGGGGTGGGGGGGGTATAATCCAGTGGTAGAGCACTTGCCTGGCATGCCTGAATTCCCGAGTTTTGTTTGTTTGTTTGTTTTAGGGGAGGCGATGATAAATATTTATTTTTTTTGAGAGTTTTATGTACATATACAGTGTAATGTTTACACTTAGCTCCCAGTATCCTCTACTAATACTCTCCCTGTGAACCCCGTTTTCTTCCCCCTATATCCCAATAGCTATACCACTGAAGAAAATGACACCCCCACCCCCCCAATCTGGTAACCACGGACAGTCAACAGCATCATAGGTGGGGCCTTGCAGGTACCTTCCCTATCTGTGATGGAATACTGAAGGGCCAGTCTTTCCTGGGAATCCACAACTGTTGTCTGTTGCTGATTGCGGGAGCCATGGAAGGCAGCATTTCACGGGAAACCTCATCACCGGCTTTTCAATTCTTCATGGCCGCTCCTTCACAATATTTGATGCTGGGTATGGCGGCAAAGGCCTCTGACACCTTTTCATGGCAAGGTGAATCAAGAATCCAAGGCCAGCCCTGGCTGTAGAGCTGGTTCAAGGTTATCTGAGCTATGTGAAACCCTATCTAAAAATAAATAAGTAAACATAAAAAGCATCCACGTTACTATATTAGGGATCCAGGACATTAAAAAAAAAAATACTTCAAGCCTCCTGAACTCTCTATATATACACAATAGAGGGTTCTCTCGTTCTTTGGGGGGGTTTTAATCTGACTAAAAGTCACTGGGGTTTTCTGGAGATTGGTGGTGTGTGTTTCCTATCATAAGGAGGACCCCAAGAGAGCACTTCAGCTCAGAGGATGATAAACAGTTCCCACCACACACAGTACACACATACCTCCCCGGTCCCATTGCCCAGCCCTGTGCGGCTCCTCAGCAAATAGAGTGCCAAAGCCTTACAGCTTCATGGATTAAGATAAAGGGCTAAGAGAAGTCCCAGCTGAGTTCAAAGTTCTACAACAGGCAAGGTAAAGAGGTGGGCAGAGGCTCACACACCTGCTTTGCTCCTCCATCCCAGCAGGGGGACAAGGGCCAATGCTAGCAGGTCACATGTCTTCAGCGTTAGGGAGGTGAGGGATTCCCATTTGATGGCATCTCTCTCTGGAAAGCAGAGGACAAGCTCGTATATCGAGAATCAGGGATTTGAGAGCCTTGTGTATATATACCCATATCTGTGTGTGTCCATGTGCATGTATGCATACAGAGGACGGGTGGTGTCTTCCAATATTGTTCTCTGCCTTATCTTTGCTTTAATGTGTGTTTGGTGGGTACGAGTGTGTTGCCTGTGTTCACTTTGATTTCCTGGTGCCCGCAGGAGCAAGAAGAGGGTGTCAGATCCCCTGGAACTGGAGTTACAGTCAGTCATGCAGCACCATGTGGGTACCTGGAATTGAACCAAGGTCTCCTGGATGAGCGGCCAGTGTTCTTAACCACTGGGCCATCTCTCCTGCTTCTCAACCTTATCATTTGAGGCAAAGTCTCTCAGTGAAGCAGGGCCAGAGAGTTCCGGGGATCTGCCTCCACCCCTCCACCCCCAACACCTCACCCCCCCCCCCCAATCTCCCAGTCTTACTCACCACTGCTAGGGCTATGGATGCAAACCACCCCACCCAGATAGCTAAGAATCTGAACTCATGTCCTCACATTTGCACAGCAGGTACTTTACTCCTTGAACCATCTCCCCAAACCCTCCAATTGACTTTCTTTTTTCTAAGATTATGCAGCTGGAAGAAAAGAAGCCAGAAGCCACACACTTCTCCTCAGA